GGGAATTCCCTTGAATGGGAGCCAGAGATCAAGTCTTGATCTTATGCCTATACCATTCTGTCTTCACAGATTAGCTGCATCACAGGTTATTTCTGGTGTAAATTAAGACTGTGTTGGTCTCTTTAGTTATATATTTGATGTTTTCTTTCTTTTTTTTTTTTTTTTTTTTGAGTTGGGGTCTCACTCTGTCACCCAGGCTGGAGTGCAGTAGCAATGATCACTGCTCACCACAACCTTAACTTCCTGGGCCAGGTGATCCTTCCACCTCAGCCTCCCAAGTAACCAAGACTACAGGTGCATGCCAGTACACCTGGCTATTTTTTAAAAATTGTGTAGGGATGAGGTCTCACTGTGTTGCCCAGGCTGGTCTCGAACTCCTGGGCTTAAGCAGTCCTCCTGCCTGGCCTCCTAAAGTGCTGGGAGCCACTGCGCCTGACCAATATTTTCTATGAGTAGGATATGGTACTTATACTGAAGGGCTTTTCATAGGCAATAAAACATTTATTTTTAAAATATTTTTTAAAATGTTATTTCAGAGTAGTAAATGCAAGACTTACAAAATAAAATAATACAGGATGGCAGCAGCATTCTGTTCCTCCCCTCCCCATGACATGTGCTAGACCAGAGAAAACTATCTTTCAATTTTAACCTTTTGTTAAAATTTAGATATACATATAGAAAAGTGTATATAAATGTACAGCTAATGAGTTTTTATAGTTTGAACACACTTGCATGAGCACCGAGGTCAAGACATAAAGCTGGATTAGCACTTCAGAAGCCAACTAATTACCACACCCTCACCCAAGGATAACCACATTCTTGTCTTATAATAACCTAGCTAAGTTCTGCTTATTTGCATAAATAAGAAAGAAATAAGCAGCTCCTGACTACTGTGAACTGGGAGCTGGTCTTGCGCTGGCAACTTGGCCATGTTGTACTCCTGTGGAACATAAATTATTCCACAGAACACCAGCATCAGACTGGTTACTCTGTGACCAGAATCATCTTTGAGCACAAAAGCAAGAATGGTTCATACCACAAAAATGACCAAACATTGTCTTCTCTCTGCAAATATGAATGATTTCTGCTTTTTACTAATTATAGGTTAGTCTCACTCCATTTCTCTCATCTCCTAGATAAAAGTTAAGACACTAAATCATAGAATTGTCTACTATTTCTGATCATACCCAATCCCCAGTAAAATTACATTTTATTTAACCATTCCAAATTCCCTCACATAAGCCCAATTCGTATAATAAGTGTCTTTAATTTCTTCTTACTAACAGGGTACACAATTTTCTATGTTGTTCTTTAATTGCAAAGAGCTGATAAACATGAGCTATGTCTTTTTAATCACTGGGGTTATTTTGTCTCATTTGTATTGTAACAGCTTTGACTAAGTAGTTGTGTTTTTTTAAGGAATTTGTCTATTTTCAAATTTTCAAATGGTATTTTTTAAATAATATTTTCATCTTTTCAATGTCTGTTGGCTTTGTAATTATGTTCCCTTTTTTCTAATATTGATCATTTTTATTCACCTTTTTTCTTGATCAGTTTAATAGGGGTTTGTCAATATTACAAATCCTTTCAAAATACCAACTTTAATTTTGATTTCCTTTATTGTATTGTAAAATTGACTTTTGCTCTTTGTTATTTTATTCTTATTACTTTTCCATAGATTTTATTTGGTCTTTTTTCTAGATTCTTAAGATGGAAAATCAAAATGTTAATATTCAACTTGCTTTCTAATATATGCATTTATGTTTATAAATTACTCTTTTTTTTTTTTTTTTTTCGAGTTGGAGTCTCACTCTGTTGCCCAGACTGGAGTGCAGTGGCATGCTCCCGGCCACCGCAGCCTCGACCCGCTGTGCTCCGCCGATACTTCTGCCTCAGCCTTCCAAGTAGCTGGAACCACAGGCATGCGCTACCACACCTGGCTCATTTTTTGATTTATTGTAGAGATGAGGTCTCACCAAGTTGCCCAGGCGGGTCTCGAACCCGTGGGCTCAGGCAATCCACTCACCTCAGCCTCCCAAAGCACAGGATTACAGACTAAGCCACCGAGCCCGGCTATAAATTACTCTTTAAACTCTTTTTCTGCTTTTTACCATCAGTTTCAATTTCTTTTCTTAACTTATAAATTACTTAGCATTCTGTTTTTTAATTTTCATGCAGTTGAAGATTTTCTAGATAACAAAAATAACTTTTTAATTTTTTTGTTATTGATATCACCATGGTGGTCAGAGAACTTACCCTAAAGTATTTTCATTTTTGAATTCTGTTGAGGCTTTTTTTAATGATCGTTTGGTTAATTTTTATAAATGTTTCATGTGCACTTGAAAATTTTGTACATTTTTCTCTTTCTTGGTTTAATTTTCTATACAGATTAATAATATCAGGTTTGTTCTTGTGATGTTCAAATCTTTTGTATCTTTGCTTTTTTTCTATTTGCTCTGTCATGCATTGAGATAAATATCCTAAATTCTCTATGATTTTGAATTTGTCTGTTTTTCTTCTGTTAATTAAAAAATATTTTGAGGGCTCAATGGCTCTCACCCTGTCATCCCACCCCTTGGGAGGCTGAGGTGAGTGGATTGCCTGATCCCATGGGTTTGAGACCCGCCTGGGCAACTTGGCGAGACCTCACCTCTACAACAAATCAAAAATTAGCCGGGTGTGGTGGCATGCGCCTGTAGTTCCAGCTACTTGGAAGGCTGAGACGGAAGGATCGCCGGAGCCCAGCAGGTTCGAGGCTGCGGTGGCTGGGAGCGGCCACTGCACTCCAGTCTGGGCGACAGAATGAGACTCCAACTCAAAAAAAAAATATTTTGATGCTATAATATTATTATTTTTTTGCATATATAACATTTTAATAGGCACAGCCAGATTACATTCCAAAAGGGGTTGGACTGTGTCAGACACATTGTCACCAGTAGTTTCTGAATGTAGCTCCTTTTCTGCATCCAGACCCCCCTGGATGTTAACTTTTCAAAAAATGTTTTGGTAACTTGTTCATTTAGCAAATAAAATTTCGTTGTTCCTTTCTTTTTTTTTTTTTTCCTTTTTAAAGTTGTGGGGTACAATTCAAGGTTAGGTATACAAACGTTGATTATGGAGGTACTCTTGTTGATGAGGTGTGTCCCTCCCTAACCTAGCAGTTTCCCTCAAATGCCAACACCCCTCCAGGGCAGTTTCCCACTACTGCCAATCTCTTTCTTATAGTATTATAATTGTTCGAGGTCTGCTTATGAGTGAGAACATATGGTACTCTGTTCTTTGTTTCTATGAAAGATCACTGAGTATGATCAACTCTAAATCCATCCAAGTTGCTGCCAGGTCCATATGTTTGTCCTTCTGTATGTTTGCATAATATTCCATTGTGTGTATGTACCACATTTTTTATTCAGTCTAGTTGAAGCTATATTAATTGGGTGCATATATATTTGGAAATGTAATATCTTCCTGCACAGTTTTTTTTTATTATTATCAAATGTCCTTCTTTATCTCTAGCAATGTCTCAGTTTTAGAGTCTGATATTAGAATTGTGACACTAACTTTTGGACTACTATTTGCATGGTATATACTTTTCTATTATCTTACTTTCAACTTTGTTTCTTTAAAATAAATTTTATGTTGTATTTAAGGTTTACAACATGTTATGGAGTACATATAGATAGTAAAATGGTTACTGTAATGATGCAAATTAACATATCTATCATCTTACATAGTACCCCCTTTGTGGTAGCAATAGCAGTTAAAATGTACTCACATGATAAAAATCCCAAATACAATACAGTTTTATTAGCTGTCGACCTCATATTACACATTGAATCTCTAGACTTAATCATGCCACCTGTCTGCTCCTTTGTATTCTGCAACCTACCTCTCCCCATCCTTCCCCTTCACTCGTTATTACCCTCACCCCCCGCCGCCCCGGTCGGCCCTGGCTACCACTGTTTTACTTTCTGTCTCTGTGTATTTGATTTTTTTGTTTCACAGATTTAACATATAAATGAGGTCACATCATAATTTTCTTTCTGTTTCTGGCTTATTCCACTTACTATAATGTCCTCCTGGTTTATCCATTTTGTGGCAATTGGCAGGGTTTACTTTTTAAAGGCTGAATAATACTCGTGTGTGTGTGTGTGTGTGTGTGTGTGTGTGTGTGTGTGTGTTTCTTATTAGTCCATTGATGAACTTGTAGTTTCTGACTGTTGTGAATAATGCCACAGTAAACATGAGAGTGCAGATACCTCTACATGTGGTTACTTCATTTTCTTTGGGCGTATACCCAGATTAAGGATTGCTGGGTCACATGGCAGTTCTATTTTTAATTTCTTTAAGAACCTTCACACAGTTTTCCAGCATGGCTGTACCTATCTACATTCCCATCAGCAATTCCCTTTTCTCCACACCCTTGCCAACATTTGTTATCTCTTGTCTGACAACAGCTACCCTAATGAGTGCGAGCGAGATCTCATAGTGGTTGTGGTTTGCATTTCTCTGATGATGAATGGTGGTGAGCACCTTTTCATAGACCTGTTGACCATATTTTTGTCATCTTTGGAGAAATGTCTATTCAGGTCTTTTGTTCATTTTTAATCAGACTGTTTTCTGCTATTAAGTTGTATGAGTTCTTTATACATTTTGGATATTAGCCTTTTATCTGATAAATGACTTGTAAATACTTTTCACAATTTATAGGTTTTTTTCATTTTGTTGATAATGGGTATTTTTCACTTAATTATATGTTCATAATCCTGGATTTTTTAAAAGCCATTATTATGTCTTCTAGTATTACATCTTAAATATTTAAATACTAGTATAATAAACACTTAGTTAATGAATTTAGAAATAGAGAGTAAAATAAAAGTGAGGGTTTTTATTTTGTCATCTATAATTAATCAAGTACTTGAAAATTATATTTTGAAATATTTTGTAGCAAATACAGAAGATTCAGACCAATTGTGTGTGTGTGTGTGTGTGTTTTTTAATAGGACCACGTTATGTGGTACAAATAGGTGACAAAGTTATTGACTATAATGAAGAATTCCGCCTCTTTTTGTCAACAAGAAATCCAAATCCCTTTATTCCACCGGATGCAGCTTCCATCGTTACAGAGGTGAACTTTACTACAACAAGAAGTGGATTACGAGGGCAGGTATACATAGACAATCATAGTTTACCTTAGCGTATTTTGTAGCTTTGTGCTATTAGATATTTTGAGTGGGAAGCTAGTTTGTTAAACTGATTAGTATTTAAGTTTATGATTTTGAAAACATACTTGCATCTTAGAGTGGAGCATTCAAGCTTGTATTATTGATCATCTGTTTTAGACTTGAACATTTGCTGCTAATGTCAAATTACTTCTTATTCTAATATAACTCTGAGGTTACAGTTTATTTCTGTCATATATGGTAGAATTCTAGAGAGGGATGGATCATAGAGATTAAGATCATCTTCCTTTTTTTAATTGTGAAAATTGCAGGTAATTGACCTATTCAGCTAGCTGAGGGTCTTTGATTCTGAGACTATATATATATATGTGTATATATATCATTAGAACATAGGCATCTCTGAATTCAGCTTATCTGTTATGATTCATTACAGTTTAGAATTATTGCATGGATTTCAGAATAATTTTTCATATTCAGACTTTTACTTACATGTTTTCACATTCACTTTTTCCTTTTTAAAGATAAACTGCCAGTTGGAGTATCCTATTTTTTACTCCTCTAACGATAGTAGATTTTTCCCCTTTTGATTTATATGATAGCATGTGTATTTCTACAATTTTACTTTATTGTAACTTTTTAAATTATCCTTTCAAAATATTTTTTATTACACCATACGACTCATCAAATATATTTTTATGCACAGTATCTTTTGATTGACCTGATAATACTTCTTATAAATAAAACAATTGAATAATCACTTAAAACTTGACAGAATTAATTGACAAAATTACTCCTTCTGTTTCAAAGATCTCTACAGTAGTTGCTGAGGGGAGCTATATTGGTTTTGCTTTAGCAAGAATTACATGTAGATGTTTATATAGCAGATTTTAAATTATGTATTTTATATCAATGTTATTTTCTATTTTAATTTTCAAAGTTAAGAAATTGGCATAGCATTTTTTAACAGTTAACGAGTGACAGCTTTAACAGGTACAATTTATCTGCCTTACAATTTACTGATTTAAAGTGTACAACTCAATGATTATTAGTTATAATAGCTGGGTCTTATCTTTTGGTAAATTTATATTCAACAGTATGAGGAACAAACGTTTCCAAAGTGGCTATACTCTTTTACTTTCTCACCAACATTGTAGGAGGATTTTATTTTCTTCACATCTTTGTCAACTCTTATTATTATTTGTCTTATTAATTGTAGCCATCCTAATGGGTATGAAGTGGTATCTCCTTGTGGTTTTGATGGCATAGTATTTTAAATAAGATTTCATTTTATTTAATGTGAATATTTATCTTTAAAAATACTAAATTTTGCAGTTTTGATATATTTAATCTAATTTTAGAACCAATATTGTGTATTGACTTATTTAATAATGTACCTTTTTACAGCTCTTCTATAATGTTTAGTATTTTACCGATCAGTTTATTCATGTTTTTGTGTCAGATATAATTGTTAAGGTGTAACATGTTTAATTAGAAATTATAAAACAAGGTAACATAGTGTCATAATACTTAGCTATTTGTTCAAACACAAGGCCAGTTTGTGGAAAGGTTTTGTTTTATTTTGTTTTAAACCTTATTGCTAATCTTGCTTTTTCTTTTTTTTCTTTAAGCTTTTGGCTCTAACCATTCAGCATGAGAAACCTGATTTAGAGGAACAAAAGACAAAACTATTACAACAGGAAGAAGAAAAGAAAATACAGCTAGCCAAGCTTGAGGAATCTCTTTTAGAGGTAAGATTTTACTACTCAGGCTATTTTTTCATAGTCCTTTTTTTTGTTTAATGAATATAAATAACAGTGTTTAAAAAAAATAAGTAGTACCTTCAGAATATTTTTGTTTTTTCAGATACGTTAGTATATAACTTAAAGTCAAAATTAAAACACCAAAAAAGAGATAAATTTTGTAATATAAGTCCTTAAGGAGTGATGTTCAATACAAGCAAATTTTTAATTAATTTCTTTATACTGTTATTTTTAAAATTACCATATGCTCGTAATTTTAAGACGCATCAAATGCATGAAATTATAACTTAATCTGTAACTGTAAGTAGTTTTTATTAAGTTGATAAGTTAATACCTATGGAATGCTTTGATAATGATACAATATCATATAATAATTTACTGTATCATTTGATGTAAGATGGCTATAATAAAAACAAAATAAAACTTAAAAATTAGGGCTATAAAATGTTGAAATTCTTTTAAAATAACATGTCATAAACATCATCAAATTAATAATAGTTAATATGAGTTTCCTTTAATTGGCTATTTTTATATGTGTAATAATGTTCATATTGTTAATTTTTCCTACAGACACTTGCCACATCTCAAGGCAATATTTTGGAAAATAAGGATCTGATTGAATCTTTGAATCAGACAAAAGCAAGCAGTGCACTTATTCAAGAGTCACTTAAAGAATCTTACAAACTCCAAATTTCTCTTGATCAAGTAATTATTTCCTTCTTTGTGATTTTTGTATAATGTTTTCTTAAACATTTATGTTAATATAATAGAAATACAGTATCAGATCTTCAGGAGAAAGACATTGTCAAAAAAAGCCACTCCGAAACACCTGAACTTTAGGTCTGATTCTTATTTAGAGAGGGATTTCAGACATTGAGACCTCAAGGATAAGGACTGATTTCTGGCATAATGTTATGTAAGGTAGAGCTACAGTTTTGTACTGAAATTGAAAATGAGTATGTTCAAAATCAGTGTTAGAGAACATCTTTGCCATTCTCAGAACTTTTCTTAAGGCAAGTTAAATAAACTAATTAAAGGGGTTATAAGTTATTTTTTTCCATTAAGAACATTTTTCTTCTATTCATCCTGGACCTCATAGGTGTGATAATCTGAACTATTTTCACTTTAAATCCTTTTTACCTCATTTTTTAATGTTTTCTTTAGCAAAATTCCAACCCTGTATCAGTGCAATGTATTATTTCCTTTCCTACATTCTAGTGACTGAGTTTTGCTGGAGAAAATCAGATAACCAGGCAAATTAATGTCACTGTAAATTCCTAGACTGTAACCTAACCTGAGCCCTCACTGACAGCTTTTGATCCTTTCCCATTCTCCTCAGTGATTTTTCCAAAATATTTTCAGTCCTTGCTGAAATTTTGCACTTGCCTGTTACTACTTTCTTTACCTGGGAAAGAGCTCTGTTGAAACTAGAATGGGAGCAAGTGTATAGCCCAATTCCAACTCAGCCACCCCATTTTCTCTACCAGGACTAAACTTTGCAGATGTCGTGATTGTCATTTTCTGCCAAGAGGATGCTGAACTTTCTGTGCCTTCTCTTTCTGAATAGACATTGCTGAGTCACATACATAATTTTACCAGTATCATGTCTGAAATCTCAGTGCTTGGTTATACCGATACGGAGAAACTTCGCGGTGTTCCATTGGGAATCTCAAGCAATCTCATCCTATGATACTCTTTACCTTCAGTCAGATTGCAAGCCCTTGCAGCTGTTGGCTCTTTCCATGCCTACAGTGAACAGTGCCGGGTGCTTTATTGTCCTGAGGTGGACACCTGCTGCTGTCATCTCCTGTACCTCCAATTCCACCTTTGTCCTTGTCATCAATGCCACTTCATAGTCAGAGCTTTCTCTACTTCAGGGATACCCGAATAGTGTCATGCTGTCTTGAACTACTTGAATGAATGCTCTTTTGAAATATAAAATGGCATCACCTAGTCTCTGATCACAACTGTTTACCATTTCATTTTACCCTCTTTCTCCTAATACAATTGCTCTTGGTCCTCATGTAGACTAATTCATGAGCCACTTCTGACTCTGTCATCTAAGAGGTAGAAAAATATTTAAAATGTATTGCTGTGGTGAGAGTGTTTGTACCCCCTCTGCCCCTAAATTCTTGCCCCTAAATTCATCCCTAATGCAATAGAATTAAGAGATGGGACTTTTAGGAGGAGATTAGGTCATGGAGGTGGTGTCCTCGCAAGTGGGATTAGTGCTCTTATAAGAGGACTGAGAGAGCTTGGTTGCCCCTTCTGGCATGTGTAGTCACAGCAAGAAGCAGCTCTTTCTGTGAACCAGGAAACGAGCCCTCACCTGACACCCAGTCTGCTGGCACCTTGATCTTGGACTGTCCAGTTTCTAGAACCGGGAGAAATACATTGCTGCTATTTATAAGTAAACCAGTCTAGGGTCCTTTGTTATAGCTGCTTAACAAATGAAGGCATATGTTGTCCTCAGCTTTATAAAAATAAGGAAGAGAAACTAGATTTCGCTCTTGTTTTAGTTACAGAATTCTGTGGTTTGTTACTGTCATTGTTTTATGTGTGTAGAAGAGCAAGACTGTGGCTAGACAAGTGCCCTGAGGCCGAGGTGGCAGTAAAGCACCAGCACTAAATTGTCTCCCCATTGGTTGGTCCACAGGAGCGGGATGCCTATCTCCCCCTGGCGGAGAGTGCCAGCAAGATGTTCTTCATCATCTCTGATTTGTCCAAAATTAATAACATGTATCGGTTTAGTTTGGCTGCATTTCTTCGACTTTTCCAACGAGCTCTACAAAACAAACAGGTAAGCTGTTGGTTACCCTGTAGCCGAGAGTGAATTAGAGAGATCACTTTACTAGATGAAGTATTTAATTTGTGATAATAATTTATGTAGAATTATGTTTCAGAAGACCACAAGTAACACTTTTAAACCATATTTAAAGGAAACCAGTTCCTTAGTTTCATTTTATATTCTTAACAAACTGTCCCAATGTAACTTATTCTGAGTATAAATTAGTAAGTAATAATATATAATCATTAATATTACCCAGTGATTCTGACTCGTATAAAATTAAGAAATTATCCACATAATCCCATTACCTGGGGAAAATGACATGTAACATTTCATGACATATTCTTATTGTTTAAGGCTGTAATGCTGTAGATAATGGGGATATGACAGTATAAACTGCCTTATCAAGCTTATATTCTAGTGGAGGGAAGAAAGTATTAAAGAATAACACATTGCTTTAACCAAAAGATGTCATACTATGCTTTAAAAAATATGTTAGCATATTACAGATCACGTTCATGTTAATGAATATAAGCCTACACATTTTTAAGAGGTGGTGGGTCTAAATCATACTTTATGTAACCATCTCCTACTAGGGACATTGTGCTGGTTGTCTCTGCTGAGTATCATATTACCCCCAAGCATGGCAGATTAAAACTATTTTCTTACATTTATGGATTCTGTTGTGAATTAGGTCAGGACACAGTAGGGATGGTTTGTCTTTGTTTCATAACATCTGAGACCTCTGCTGGGAGGACCGGGGCGATGAATGGGACAGGTGTTTCACGTGCCTGTCTTGTGCCAGGGGTGGGTGGACTTGACCACAGGGCTGCCCACTGCAGCTCCTCTCCAGGAGGCTTTTCCTCCTCACAGCACAGAGGAGCTGGACTTTAGGGCCCCAAATGTGTGCTCCGGTGACTATGATGGAAACTGACCTGCTTTATAACCCAGCCTTAGGCCAGTGTCGCTTCTGCTTGTGTTGTGTTGGTGGAAGCAGTCACAAGCCCACCCCGATGCCAGGGGATGGCTAGTGGGCTTCACCACTTCATGACCGAAATCTCAAAGAATGTCGGGTTTATTTTCAAAACAGCTACAGACATTTATGTGTTGCCTTACTCTCCCCTACCACACCCCTCCCCCGCCACCTGCCCTGGGTGTTGCTACTTTAATTACTTTCTTAGGTAAATTCCTAGACTTGGGTAGCTGGGGCAGAAATGTACATTTGTCAGCCTTTTGACAAATATTGTCTGATTGTCCTTCAGAAATATATGCTACTGATACCACAAGAGTACCTTTTATTAACTACATCTCAACCAATAATGAATACTATGCATCTTTTAATAATTGACTTATTAGGCAATTGGAAGATATTTCATTGTTTTTGCAAGTCTTTGATCACTTGTAAGGTAAATATCACTTGTAAGACAAAGATGTATAGTATCATTTGATGTTTGTATTTTTTCTTTGGTAAATACGATTTCTTACATTTTTGGTCCATTTTTCTATTATGCAACAATATTAATATTAAAAAAATGAATTGTAGGAGATCCTTATATATTAAGGAGGTGAAACTTTTTTATATACTACAAATATTTTGAGTTTATTATCTTTCTTTTCACATTATTTCAAAAATATTTTTATGAAACCAAATTAACCAAAATTATTCTTCACAGTTTTTGTTTGGTTTAATACTAATATAGATTTAAATTTTTTTTTTTTCTTGGAAGAGCGTAATTTTCTTAAGCTAAATTAGGGAGCAAAATTTTATATTCAGTAGGTTTATTTAAATCCATTTTTCTGAGGAAAATTGTTCATTCAATAAATATTTATTGCAGACTTAACTATGTGCCAGGTTTTTTCTTGATATTTAGAGTATATAGCAATGAACAAAACAGGAAAAAAAATCTTATCTGTATTGAGGTGGACTACTTAATATTTTCATGAATTGATTATTTTATGAAACGTCTGCCTGCCTGCCTCCCTTCCCTTCCTTACCTCCCTTCCTCCCTCCCTCCTCCTTCCCTTCCTTTCATCTATTTTTTTGAGTTGGGGGTCTCACTCTGTTGCTCAGGCTACAGTACAGTGGCACAATCGTGGCTTACTGCAGCCTTGGTCTCCTGGGCTCAAAAACTTTTATAATAGTAAATAATAATTGGATTTTTATTGATTTTTTTTTTTCCCCTCTAAAGTGTCTCATTTGAAATTGTTCTTACCTTCAAATTTGAAATAGAAAGGTACCTCATAAAGAGCTTGTGCTTTGGGGGTAGATTTTATTAGCAAAAATGTGTCTACTTAGTCATGGTGGACAATGTAAGTGTTTCTCTGATGTATGTTTGTAATATTGTAATATCCTTTGGACAAACACAAGATTTCAAGATGGAGGGAGGCTGAAAAATAAATAATGGTGCTATTAAAAATATTTCTGTTCAAGCACAGGACCCTACACTAGAACAAACAATTTTGATTTTTAAAATATATTAAATGTTGTTATCATACCATTTATAAAATTGTGCCGGTAGAAGCATTTTTCAAGAAAAACCCAACTGTACAGAATGGTGTAAAGTCTGTGAGAGGCACTTCATGATATAGATTGATTCTATTTTTGGTTCTCTGTCAGCAGATATAACTAAAGATAGTCATTTATACTTATCTTTTTTGCATTAAAAATTTCCAATAAATTATTTTAGAATGTATACAGTGGTAAGTTCATTTTAGTTCTTCTTTGTCCTTTAGTCAAAAAGTATATATGTTAAAAAAAAGTAACTCTGTGAACTGTGGTATGAAAACTGATAGATTATAAGTTCAGCTAAACTTAATGAGTTTTGGGGTTTTTTTTGTACTCTTTAGCAAACCTACTGACTCATGGTCTCATGAGTTAACCATAGCTTTGTGATATGGCTATTGGATAACATTCACCCTAGTGTATGTATGTGTAAAAGTGTGCACGTTTATATTTTAACAAACATAATTTAAGATGTGTGGAACATTAAACTTGCTTTCTATTGTTTAAAAAAATCTACTGGATCTTGTGGGTACTGTAATCTGTCTTACAACAGTGTGCCTTTAGTGAATCCAAGCCTCAGTTTCACGTGTGACCTTTGTTAATAAGCAGTAGAATGTTTGCCATCTGAAGTGTGAATAGCCCACCCCCCCAGTCAGAACATGCTACACACACAGGAGCCTGGGTCTGGTGCATCTGAGTGGCCACTTCATAATGTCTTGTGCCAGTTTCACACATTTTCTTGATGATCCTGGATGTATTTTTCTTAATCCATTAAAGTTATTTTACTAGATTTTTTTTCTTGGTATAAATTACAAAGAACCAAGCATTCAGTCTAAATGTTATACCAGAATTTAACTTTCAAGACATGTATTTTCCTAATACTCACTGAAGTGAGATGTAAACTCATGTCCACATAGGGAAAAGGCCAGGCTGTGCAGCCCTCCATCCTCCATTTCTGTCGGCGATTTTTAAAATAGCCACTCATGATCTCTTTTGAAATCATTGCAGTCTTGCACAATAAAATGGAAGTGCAGCATCAGACTGAAAGCTGAAGTGGCAGTGGTATATGTTTTTACATCGTCAGTTTTAAAATTCTTGTTCAAAGTTATTCATCCTGCAGTGTATGATTTAAGATCATTACCATGGGAACCTATCATATTAAGGTTGGAAAAATTCTTTGTGAGGTGGTTCTGGTCACCTTGTTTTGGGCCTGGACTGGTAATTATAACACAAATAAAGTAAACGTCCATAACCTAGATTGATGTGGATAGTATTTTTAAATCCAGTAGGAATCTAAGTGATATGGTGAAATTCAATTTATGTTTTATTATTGGGAATTGATTGCAGTATTCATTTATTGAAAACTTTAACTTTGTACATTAAAGAAAAGCATATCCATTTTCCTTCTATTGTATTCATATACAAAGTTAATGCACTTATTTGTTTAGTCCCTTGAGTTTGATGGATGTAGATACTTGCTCCAGAATCAGCTTTGAGTGTGGAGGAACAATTTATGAGTAATTAAAGGATGGGGTACCTTTTACATGTTTATAAGTTTCCTAATGAATTTTCAGTTTTAAAATTGTTTTCTATAGGATTCTGAAAATATGGAACAGAGAATCCAGTCTCTTATCAGCTCATTAAAACATATGGTATATGAATATATATGCCATTGTCTATTTAAGGTAAGAAGCATTGTCTTTTTAAAATATAAAATACTACTTGGTCTTTGATTTAATACAGTATTTATAGTTATAGCATAACTCTTTGTATAACTATAATATAAGTGTAAGGGATTGAAGTGTAAGGGTATTTCTGATGTTTTTATTAACCAGAACATCACAGCATTCTGGGATGTAGTGGGGAGAAACGTGACAAATGCAGAAGGGGTGCAGGCGCTGTGCCAGCTGCCTTAGCTCTGAACATTCCACTGTCACTGACAGTGCCAGTGAATCCCACGACTTCCTCTCTAGCCGGGGTTTCTCGTCCTCAGAAATAATGGCATTTGGGGCCACATAACTCTGTTGTGAGGGAGCTGTTCTGTGCATTTGGGATGTTTAGCACATCCTTGGCTTCTACCAACTGATGCCAGTAGCACTCCCTCCCATCTATTGTGAGAATAAGAAGTATCTCTAGACAGTACCCAGTGGCCCCCGGCTTGGGGAACAAAGTCATTTCTCATTGCTGCTATTAGGAAGGAAACTAATGCCTGAGCTATGAGAGAAATGTGTTATAGAAGTCTTCATATTACAGGGATCCCAGAGGAACATACAATTGGCAGTACTTCAGAAGTTTGGAGATTATAGAAAACACAAAGGCTTTTTTTTTTTACATGGGATTTTTTTTAAAATAGCAATCTTTGGGTATAGCTTAAGCCACAATGCTAAGAGCTTTGTAAAGGCAATTAATGAAATGAGAGAAATGGAGTTATTATGGTTCAATTAATAGGCTTCTAGAAAATCTTCAAAAATCGTTTAAAATAAATTGACTTTATTCATAAAAAATTGTGTGTTCTTACATATCTAAACTTTAGTCACCTTCAGATACTCTCCATTTGATGCAGTACACCTATTGAGACGCCTTTTTCACTGCTCAAAACAGTTTTTAAACTCGTCAATTTTGATGCCTTTTTAAAGTGCTTTTGTCATTGTTTGTTTCACCTCTACCTCATTTGTAAGACGTTTCCCTTTGAGGACTTTTTTCATCCATGAAAACAAAAAAAAGTCACTTGGGGTAAGCTGGGGTGAATACTTACCGTGGGGCACCGGAGTCAAAAACTGCTGAACACTCAGCGAGGCGTAGGCAGGCACGTGGTCATGGTGGAAGAAGCAGCCACCTGTTGGCCACAACTCAGGATGTTTCTTCTGCAAATCGTGATGTGACCTTCTCAAAGCTTCCAGATAAAAACTTTCGTTGAATGTTTGATCTGGAGGAATTTCTGGTGTACTAAGAGGGGCCCTCCATCCAAAAGATAATTCTGCGTTTTTTTGGGTCCCCTTGTGTATTTTTTAGAATGGGATAGTAATTTTTATAACTTTGTTGAGGATTTTTATTTGTGACAGAATAAATCTTTCAAAATACTTTTCAGTGATTTGACAAGGGATGTCATTAGAAGTTCAAATAATTATAGTTGAGCATTTCTGTAGAATTCTTTCTTCAATGGAAAGTGGATGTACATTTTTCTTTTAAAGTTCCTGTAGTTAACTATGATTCTAAAACTTACCTATTGGGCCTCAGTTTTAACTTGTGTAAGATAGGGAATGTAAGCAAATGATCTCAAAGCCATGTTGTCACTAGAACGTTATGATCCTGATATGAAGATAACTTTCATGGTGGCAGCGTTTCATCAGCTATGTCATATCTATCATATTTGTATAATGCATTATCTCATGTAATGCTTAAAAAAATTTAATTGCTCAAACAAAACAAAAATTTTTCAGAAAAAGTTTCAAACTATTATAGAAAAAATCTTAAAGATTCGTTTCACCCTCTTCAGCGTTTTTTTTTTTTTTGAGTCAGGGTCTCACTCTGTTTCCCAGGCTGGAGTGCCGTGGCACCATCACAGCTGCAGCCTCAACCTCCTGGCTCTGGTGATCCTTCTGCCTCAGTTTCCCCAGTAGCTGGAACTCCAGGTGCTTGTCACCACGCCTGGCTTATTTTTTGATTTTTCATAGAGATGAGGTCTCAATATGCTGCCTAGGCTGGTCTTGACCTCCCAGGCTCAAGCCGTCCTCCTGCCTTGGCCTCTCAAGGTGCTGGGGGTACAGGTGTGGGCCTGAGCCACTGTGCCTGCTCCCCGACTCCTATTCCTTCATCTGAGTGAACCAGTCGAAGGCTTGATTTTTTTCCTTATTGTCCATTTCCTCTCTCTCTGTATTCACATGTACAAACATATAGATATAACTTTTAAAACATTTCCTTGCTGTGTATTTTGTTCTATAGCTTCTCTTATTGTAGTAGGTCCTGAAAAATCTTTCCACATGTAGAAATATGTTAGCCTCATTATTTTGAGCAAATGTGTGATATCCCATGGTGTGATCATATTCTACTTTTATCTACCACACTTTGGTGGATATTAGATAAGTTATTTATTTTTTGCTCTTCTGAATGACTGCAGTGTTCGTCCTGTGTGGTCCATGCTTTATGTCCATGTGTAAGTATTCTATTCAGGAGATTTCTGGATGAAAGTGTAATTACAGGTCCAAGGATAACACTTTTTAAATTCTGTTGAATATTATCAGCTTTTTACCACTTACTACCACTACTCATGTAATAATAAAGCCATCTCCTTATGTCCTTCCTTACAGTCTTGTCTTTTTGATTTTTATTGTTTTTAAAGTTATTTGTTTTTACCTTTCTTGTTTACCCTGCCATATTTGTCTATTTTCTTGGTATTTCAAAGAATAAGTTTTTACTTTTATAGGACACATCTATTTTATTGTAATTATTGTTTTTGTATTTTATTTTTTAATCATTGGGTTTACTTATTTTTTCACTTATCCTTATAGACTGTTGGATTTGTATTAGTAGCTTTTTAATGTAGTTTTCATCTTTATTTTCTAGTGAATATTTAAACTACAGAGTTTCATTTTGGTCAATCTTGTAATAATGAGTTTCCTGATTTTTAAAAAATTTTCCTAAGACCACTGCACTAAAATAGTCTGTGATTTATGAAACTTTTATGGAGCTATTTATGTTATGGAGTTATTTTAAGCTTCCCCAAATCCTTTTTCAAAGTGTATGTTTTATAAATTCTTAAAAATGTTTTATAAGATAATGAAACTCATTCTTATTCATTCCAACATTAGTTTATGTTCTTATTAGGACTGAGGTGCTTATTTCTAACTTATGTATCTGTAACTCAGTTTACATATTCTTATTTTAACTTTAGTAATCCAGTACATTTACTGAACCCTTATGCTATACATTTTATAAGGTAGTTAGGCAACGATAGCTATTCTGTACCAAGATGGTTTAGCTTGTCAGTGAAGTATAGTGTCTACAGTGAGGTCACTTCTTTGAAGTCATTTTAAAAATGCTTTTAAGTTTGCCTGAAGGCAGCACTTTGTTACACCAGGAGAGAGCTTGAGAGGCTTAATCTTCTTAATATTTTAGTACCCAGTTGTAAGTTTTCATTTCCTATCTGGAATAATACTTTTCTATTTTGATCAGTTGAAAAAAAATCTGCTTTCTGACAAAGCTATGTTTATGATTTTTAAGACTTTTTAAAAAATTGATGTGGAATATTAGTTTTACATAATTTATATTTTGGTTTGAGTAATAGTAAATCTTTACAGCATGAATTCAGCATTCCATAGTTTCAGTGGTTAATAAAAATTCAGAAAGCACATTAATCACAAAGCAATGAGATAGATTTCTCAAGATTTAGCACTATAACCTTACGTAGGAGGAAACCAATTTTATATTTCAGTGAAAGCTTCTAGGGTTTTTACTAATTAGCATTACCTTTACCTCCCTGTCAGAATTTCTCTCAAGTTGATTTTGCTGTTGTGTTGCTGAGATCAGTATGACCACAGTAAAGTCTTGAATTTTTTTTTAGGGTTCGTGTCACACTGAACTGAAAGCAAGTTGACCTGGAACAGGAAAGTCATTGGCTTGCTGTGTAGCAGGAAGTTTAGACTTTCAAGAAACTAAACCAACTGGGAAAAGCTGTCTAGTACTTTCAGTTCAGATTGTTAGCTGTGCTATTCTTTTTCTTTTCCAAGAGATCAAAAGTTTTTACTTAAGTTATCCAAGTATTTTGGTAATTATAGGGTAAGTCACGAATTTGGCTCCTGAAAACTTTTGATGACAACACAACTAGTTAGAAGAAAGTGCCTCTGCCTATTATTTCTTCGTCTCAGTTTACAGTTGGGCTTAGGTGCAGATCCATGGAAGCTGCTGGTGTGTGAGTTTGCAGTTAGCTTGGGCGAGTGTATAGAAGTGGCTGGGAGGGGGCATTGGGAGGCTTATAGCAGCCCACCCGGCCAACGGGCCCCACGACTACCCAGGGTGTGAATCCGCTGGACAAAGAGTTCATGTCCTGGGCAGGACGGAGCCGGGTGGCCATGATCTCGTCATGCTTCGCAGAATGGCTTGTCATTTAAAACTTGAGTTTTCTTTTTTCTAGGATTCCCCACTTAGTATTTTCAGACTGCGGTTGACTGCAAATAACTCCTTTCAGGTTCTCCCTTCTCTCTAGGAAGTGTTATCTCAGAGATCCAAAATGCTGTAGAAGAAATGTCTGGTGGCGTATGAGGAGAGATTTTTTTTCATGCAGACTCTTTAAAAGTTAATATGTATGAACCTCACCTTACCTTCTTTTCTAAATGAATTTGTTTGTTGATTAAGATTCAGATGTTTATGATGTTTATTATTTTCTAACAGAACCCAAGTATACTGTGATCAATGGACATTGAATTAAAGTGAACAAATTTCCTGATCTAATAAGCAGAGTAGATCAAGAATATTAAAAGTACCACAATATTTGCTTAGTTTTAGATGTTGACAAGTTTTTTTTTAAAAAAAACACACAACTATTTAGGAAACCTTAAACTTGATTTATTCATTCTTAGTTTTACTTCAGTTTAATTGGAAACAGTATGGCCATGTGCTTATGCACACATTCTTTTTCTTTCTATAAATTGTACTTTTAGTTTTATTCTTGAGTCATTGTTCTTCCTTGTAATGTTATTGTTAAATACTTGTGGCTGAAGGGTTTTACTGGTACTACTTGGCAAACAGATAACATGGCAGAAAGATTTTTCTTCTTCCATTTTCAGCTTAGAAAATTACGTAAGAAGATTCTGGTTGTCCTGACTTAGGTCACATGGTACTCCTTACATCAAGATGTAGAAAGCAATCTAAGTAGTCGTTTGTTATATCGAAATTTGAAGACAGAATGCAAATTTTTGTCAACCAAAATTTAAGAACTATGCTTATCCAAAAGCACAAAGTTTAAGAAAGCAAGATAATGTGTTATTCTTTGCAGGCTGATCAATTGATGTTCGCTTTGCATTTTGTTCGAGGCATGCATCCTGAACTTTTTCAAGAAAATGTAAGTCGAATTAAAGAAAATTTTAGAGTTACAGTGAAATTTGATGAGTGGATTTGTAGTTAGATTAGAGGTTACTTTAAGCTAGTCATTATATGTCAACCCATTAATCTTCTACTAAGTTGGAAATTTAGTGTAAAATACTGATTTCCTACTCTGCTTCTCTGTGGGTGAGCCAAACAATCCAGAGTGGTGGTGAGGCAGGGAAGGACCTCTCAGTGACTTACCAAGCTTCCAGATCTTCCTGAGCCTCGGTTCACCTACTTAGGGCATCAGATTAGTTCGTTTATTTTCCTGGCCTAGCAGTGAAACTGATAAGTAGAAAAAGTGAGACAATATTGGTACACAGCTATATTATTTATTACTTCTGCAGACTCGTCGAGTCAGCAGGTGAAGCATGAGGGTGAGGGTGGGCAGTTCTCGGAAGTTTTCGTGAGCCTACTGGTCTGTGTTAATCTTTTTATGTATAATTTATCTTCTTTGTCTATGATCTCATTTCTGGTCTGCCCTTCACAAACTTCAAAAGAACTTCCCTCGAGCTGGAACTAACACTGGTCTGCTTACAATTTTTTAAAAATTTATTTGCAAGAGATTTTTCTCATTATTTTGCCATTATCAAAAAGTGAGAGTCCAGTAGCTGCGGTGCCAAGGATAATATATGGACAGGGCAGCTTTGACCTAGTAACCTCTCACTCCACTTGGTCAGATTTTAACTGTCTTCTGTGTTCCCTCATTCGAATAGTTGAAGGAATGCTGTTATTCACAGTTCTGCTTCCATTCTCTTTCTTTTTTTTTAACTCCACATGTACTGACTGACTTGTGTAGTTTCTCCTGACTTTGTTATCTTGACCCTTTTTTATTTCCACTGTCAACGTTGATGTCTTTCCCTCCTATTTAATGTTTTCATCATGCTCAGTATGAAATATGTATATGTATATTCCCTTTTTTTCCCTCTAAGGTTATAAATAAATTATCATTGGGAAAGGAGAACATTTTTTTCCATCTCACATATTGTAGTGGTAATCATGGTTATTTTACTCATTTGTGGCTGCCTAATTCCAATAGGAAGAGTGGGTGGCCAAGTTGGATAGAGTCAGGGAGTTTGTTGCTTTGGTAGCTTTTCCATGTGCTCTCAAATTTTTATAAATTTGGCTTATTTGCTTGCCAGTGTGTGACAAACAGTATGGTAGTAACTACCCATTATTGTCTTCGGTGTGGTGGCAGACTCCAGGGTGAGGGCATAGATTTTCTTAGAGCATTAAATTCTACAGCATTTGATTAATCTTGATTCAATGGCTTACAGAAAGGATTAATGACAATCTTCTCCCAATCTGTGGGAAGAAAGTTATTGGAAGTACTTTTCTTAATGTTTCCTAACATACAAAATTTTTAAGTTTTTGGTACACCTTATTGCTTATTTATTAATGAGAAATAGCCTATGGAAGAACAAGTTAGCAGGTAGTGACACGTGTTGATTGTGTGACATTTTAATTTCTAGATATTGAGGCTTACATATATAATATAGTTATGTTTTTATTTTAATGCAGTTATTCCTAGTAGAATTCATGTTAATATTTTCTAAGAGTACATGAACCCATTCTTATAATGTGAATGTAATAGAAGAAGCAGGAAGATGTGAAATGAGTGTTTTTTTTTGTCTCCTTAGAAAGCTGCATTGTAAGCCATCTTATAGGAAATTAAGATAATATTGCTAACTGGTTCTTTTATATTTTTTGTTTTCCTCATTTTTTTATTCAACAGGAATGGGATACATTTACAGGCGTGGTTGTTGGAGACATGCTGCGGAAAGCTGTAAGTTAAAATAACAAAATCTTAGTATTTCACTTTTAGAGAAAATAGTTCTGACTTTGCCTTCATGAAGTATAATTTGCTTCAGAGGAGTTTCAAGTTGTTTTTGAAATTATACTTTGATTAGAGGACTATGTTCTGGCCTCTGTTGCCCTACTATAAAAAGGACTTAATTATATAGTTTTTACTTTAAAGGCATATATCCTTTTGAGCATAATATTAAATACTGAGAAATCAATGCAGCTCCTTTTTCTCAGTATATGTATTTTATTCCAAGAACAATTTTATAATTTGACAATCCAAATCTTATAACTTGAAAAATTACCTTATATAACTAGTTTAAGAATTTCTTTTTAAAACTTTTAATAAGCTCATTCAAATTTAGCTTTTTTTCTAGCAATTTCATCCTTTTTATACATATGAAATAATAATCGAAATAGTGTACCCAAACACAGAACCTAGATCATCTCTGAAATGCAAAATGTAATTAAAAATAATGTAACTTTTATGAGTTTTTTAAGACATTTGAGTTTTTCTAAAGTTTCATGAACCTTTTCTAATCTTTCATGAAAGATTAAGCACAATGAAAAAAATGATTGCAACAGTTGCCTAAGTGGTTCTTTGTATCTTATATTACATAGACTCTTACCATGGTGACTTGTGAAATACACTAAAAAATAAAGAAACAATACATAGGATAAACATTTTTTCAAAACAGGATTCATAAAAATAGCTAGTTAATTACTATTTTTTCACTCTGAATTTTGCCAAATATACTAAGGAAAATAATTGCTTTTATTAAAGGACTCACAACAAAGAATACGTGATCAACTTCCATCTTGGATAGACCAGGAAAGAAGCTGGGCCGTGGCAACACTGAAGGTATTCCTCTTCTACCAGGAGGGATATTCCAGTTTTTCATTATTGATTTCTGTTGACACTTTGCGCTACTTATTCGTACTCAGTGTTGATATTTTTGTGAATAGGGCATATAGTCCCCTGGTAGAAGGACACCAACGAATTTTTGTGATTAGTCCTTTAATCAGTAATTAATTTATCAAATCTTTCATTCATGAAATAGCATGCCTTCAATATCTGTCTAGGTCTTCCAAACATAGTATTGTCTTTTTCTTTCTCTTTCTCTTTTTTCTCCCGGGGTGAGTTAGGCTGTGGGGATGGTGACACAAGGGAAGAAAAAACAGTTCAGAAACCTGAGCCCAACAGTTCTGTGTTCTTCCGTGACTCAGGCCAAAGTGTTGTTTTTGTGGAAATGAAAGGCAAATGCGCTTCTTCCCCAAATCTATATGCATATGTTTCCATTCTTCCTTTCCTTTGCCTGCTTTTCTTCACAACTATTATGACATTACTGTAGCACGTGATGAAAACAGTAAGAATAACTAGCATTTATTGATAGCTTACTACATTCAAGGCATTATACAGAATTTTAAAATGAATTGTTTCACTAAATATTTTCAACAACATTCTTAGGTGGCTGCTGTAATTGCTCTCATTTCACAGATGAGGAAATTAAGGCACGTGGAATCATTTGCCTATGGTCTCTTAGGAAGCAGGCCCATGATTTAAAACCAGGCTCCTTGCTGCACTAGGAGAGCTCTTTACCGCCGCTCTTCACTGCCCTTGTGTCATAAATATTTGTTGCGTAATTCTGCAAGTAAATTAGTAGTGATGGGGCCTTGTGTGCTAATTGTCGCTATAAGTTACCAGACCACCATCAGATGTTATCCTAACAGGTTTAGATCATTTGCTAAAGTATAATTAAATTGAAAGGAAATTAGTTTTCTGTTTAATTTTAGTTAAGTTACATAATCACATTTGGGAAATATAATGGATTATTTAGATATGAATATAGATATTTGGATAAAGCATTTTTATATACTTGATTTATGTTTATGTTACATGAAGTTCTATACTGAGATATAGACCGTCTGAATTCCCTTTTTTTTATAATTGGCCATCTTTATAGATTCACATTTCTAATCTTATAGTCCATTCTTGAAAAAACTTGGGAAGAGAGAACACTGAAGTAGAGAGAATTTGTATGTTTGGAAAAATCTCTGAAAGATGATGTTGTTGAAGGTGAATATTGGGTGCCAAATAGAAAACTGTGAGGTAGCAAAGAGGGTTAGAACATTTAAAGGCGAAAGAAGCAACATGCTCACAGATGGAGCATAAATGAATGTGGTGATGGAAACATGTTTTGCTAAGGAATCGATATTGTCACAGAAAGAAAGAAGTAGACAGAAGTTAAAGATGTGATGGTAAATTTTATTCCAAAGGACTGTGTATTGCAGTAGGGAGAAAGAGACTTCAGTATAGAACTGGGCTCAATGCTGAATATAGCATGGACAAGCGGGAATTTATAGCCAAGGAGCTGAGTGAGAACCGGTGGTGAGGGTCAATGAACAGAAGATTACTAAGAGAAAATGACAGGAGTGAGCAGGGATTCTTGCAAAACTGATTTAGCAGGATTCTTAGTGGAGGCAGATCAGAGTGATCAGATACCAAAGGCTGGAGAATGAGGAATTTGATTGGATATTAAGGGTAGGGATTCTCACTAAGGTGGCTTGGCAAGATTCTTGTTAAACCTGGATACTGCAAGGAAGGACACATGAAGCCCCAAATTGAGGCCTAGTCAAAGTTTTTGTCTAAGAGAGAGTCTTTGTCAACATTGATAAGAATTGTGACATATTTAACATGACAATCCTTAAAAATTTGCACTTGATTTTAATGACAGCATTTCTTTTCTCCACAAGGGGGAGGTAGCTAGGTACAAATACTTTTACACAGAGAAAAGGTTTAACTTATGAGTATTGATTTAGTAGTGCTTGGGAAATATTTAATTCTGTTGTTGACATTGGATAAATGAGTCGACCATACTGCTGCCAACCTAGAAATGATAGACGAGCCAATACAAAGTAGACAACAGGTGATGAACATCAACTAACAACTGGTTCTCATTTGTTTTTTTAGTTTTAAAAAAAAATATGTGCTTTTATTTATTTTCACTGTGGCTCACTGTCTGTATGCGGTTATCTTTATTTTTAGATTGCTCTCCCTAGTCTATATCAGACCCTCTGCTTTGAAGATGTAGCTCTGTGGCGTACTTATTATCATAACTCCGTGTGTGAGCAAGAGTTTCCATCTGTTCTTGCAAAGAAAGTTTCCTTATTTCAGCAGGTAAAATTTAGTGCTATCTAATTGCAAAAAAAGTTTAATGCTTCTCTTGTTGTTCAGAATCCGTTTAAATGAACGTTTTGCTTTTAGGCTGTTACTTAACCTTTAATGGCATATGGGGGGAAGTGCTTTTTGCTTTTGCCACCTTTGGACAATTAAATCACTGCCAAAGCTTCTAGCTGGGGGGATCCCCTTGCAGCTTTTCTTTTCTTTTTTTAATTTTGAAGATGTGGGGTACAGTTCAGGGTTAGGTATGCAAATGTTCATTATGCAAGTACCCTTGTTGATAAGTTATACCCCCTGTTCCCCCAGCAGATTCCCACAACTGCCAGTCCCACCCTCCCCCTCCCCTGTCAGTTTTCCACTACTGCCAATCCTTTTCTTATAGTATTATGATAATTGTTCAAGGTCCACTTATGAGTGAGAACATGTGATACTTACTTCTTTGTTTCTGTATTAGATCGCTCAGTATTATAGATTCCTAAGTCCATCCAAGTTGCTATGAAGTTCATAATTTTGTCCTTTATGGCTGCATAATACTCCATCTTTTTCTACCTGTGACCCAGAGGGGATCTTACAATGGGAAAAATGTCTTTCAGGAAGAAACTAAGGCGCACGTTGTATAGATGCCCTTCCAAGGAAAAGACCTTTCCCCATCCTGTCTGAAAACAGAATGTTGAGACCTGCCCGTGTTTCCACTTCATTGTTCTGCTAGTCCCCCATCATCCAATGGGCAAGCATGCCAGGAGTTGATGCTCTGGGAAGTGGCCTTTCCGTCTGTCTCTCCTCCAGGCGCTGGCCCTGTCCCCACACTGTGAACTTGATTTTATCAAGTGTGCTTACATACACAGAAAGGAAAATAACTGAGAGAAAATTTGTTTGAGACGTTAAACATCTAGAAATATCATTGATATACATGGCTCAGCTTAAAAATTGTGATTTGAGCATTTTAGTTGGAATTTCTGGACCTTTGTTGCTGTCACCAGAATGCCTTACCTGCATAACTACTTTCACCTACCAGTAGCCCTTAATTAGATCCTGATGATGACATAGCTAACCCTGCGTTTACTTTTGATGATAGGCTTGAAGGAAGTAAATGGATTTCTGCGATATTTTGGATCTTAAAGGGGTATTCTGTTGTATACCTATTGTGACAGTTTAAAGCATAGTAAATATGATGGAACAATGTGTTCGCATATTTAGTAAACATTTGTTAAATTAGTTTAACATTAATTGCTGTTTAGTTGAAGCTGTTATGGGAACCTTATTTAAAATATTCTGTGCTTTATTTAAGGTTCTTGTAGTACAGGCTCTAAGACCGGACAGATTGCAAAGTGCCATGGCCCTTTTTGCATGTAAAACTCTGGGTAAGTTCAGTACTTTTTAAGATCTAGATCACTGACTGGAACGATTTGTTCTTCATTTCTGTATTATTTTATGCTGACCTTAGTTTGGAAATGTTATATGATCTTTTCTATTCATTTTACTTACATTACAATCTCTACCTTGTTTAGAAAAATAATTCTGTGTTGGATATAACCATATGTAATGTTGAATTAAATTTGATACATAAGTGACACCCTATTTAGCAAACATATTTGAGGTTTTAAAATTATTTTCATATAAAAGTCTTTTAGGTATTTGTATTAGAATTACAAAGAAGGTGTGCAAACGTGCATGCCAAATCTGGACTGTACTACTTGTAGTCATACTTCAATGAAAAATTCAGATAATTGAAGTAAAATATATCATAGAGGTCATAGTCCTGGGAAGTAAAATCTCCAAAATGAATTATTCTTGCTGCGTATTAGAAAAAGAAAAGCTGCCTTTTTAATCTTAAGCTGTGCAGTGCATTCCTAGTCAGCCTTTCAGGTGGCCTTGTCTGAGGAATGAAAAGTCGTCACCCATTTGGAAATAATTTGCAAGAAAAGCTTGGAAAACTTTATCGAGGAAAGACTGAAAGGGAACTTGTTGCACAGAGCCGTCCAAGAATAATGATCTTTGCTCTTTCGACGTTGTAAGAGGGTTTAGAGTTAGGGTGGAAATGGCACAGATAAGATAGTGTGCTGACAAGCTGGGCATGGTGCCTCACACCTGCAATGCTGGAACTTTGGGAAGCCGTGGTGGGAGGATTGCTTGAGCCCAGGAGTTCAACTAGCGGGGGCAACTTAGTGAGACCTTTTCTCTACCAAAAAAATGAAAAAAAGTTAGCTGGTATGATGGTATATGCCTGTAGTCTCACCTCCTCAGGAGGCTGAGGTGGAAGGATTGCCTGAGCTCCCAGGTGTTTGAGGCTCTGGAGGAGCTGTGATCGTACCACTGCACTCCAGCCTGGGCAACAGAGGGAGACCTCAACTCGGAAATAAAAAAAACAAAATGGTACGCTGACAGTTTTTTCTAGAAATCCTTCATTTCTACTAATTCTTCCTTATACATGTATGTGAAATTTTATATGGAATTTTAAAAATTTATTTTAACCTACACATATTTTAATCAGATAAAACTAATATGTATATGTTTTGTCTAAATTGGAATTTTTCACATAAAAAAGCTAGCACATAGTTTTATGAAATTGAGAATAAATGTTGGACCTTCCATGCTTATCACTGAAAACTTTGTAGTACCGAATAATCATTCCCTTGTTAGTATATAAAGCTATTATTTTGGATATGTCAGGAAATTATTTTGAGAAATTATCTCTCAGTGTCAGATGATCAGTTTTACCCTAATGAGCACACTCTTTCACTTAAATGTGAATGTTCATAATGATAATAATTATACCTAACATTTAAATAGCTCTTACTATATGCCAGGTACTAATTTAAGTACTACCCATGTATCAGCTCATTTAATCCTCACAGCAACCATAGGAGATAAGTGTTATTTATATATCCATTTAAAGATGAGGAAGCAAGATCAGACAGCAAATAAATGACAGAATCAAACCCAACTCCAAAGCCTGTGTTCTTATTTAATACTGAAAGAGTCAAGTTTATTCTCAGTTTAAAAGGATATTGTTGGTAGACAGTAACAGTCTCCTTAGGCCAGGCATGGTGGCTCACGCCTATAATCCTAGCACTTTGGGAGGCTGAGGCAAGAGGACTGTTTGAGCCCAGGAATTCGAGACCAGCCTAGGCAATATGGCAAGACTCCATCTTTACAAAAAAGTAAAAAAGTTAGCTGGGCATAGTGGTGCGTACCTGAAGTCCCAGCTCCTGGGAGGTAGAGGTGAAAGGATCGTCTGAGCCTAGGAAGTCCAGACTGTGGTGAGCCGTGATCATGCCATTGTGCTCCAACCTGGGATAGAGTGAGACCCCAAATTAAAAAAATTCTTTAAAGTTAGATAAAGTTGTATCACACACACATCCATCCCCATCTAACTTACTGTAATAATTTCCTACAGCTACCATAATAAGGTACCACCACCCAGGCGGCCTGAAACAACAGAAATGTATTTTCTCACAGTTCTGGAGGTTGACATCTGGTGTCAAGGTGTTGGCGGGGGCATGTGCTCTCTGAAACCTGTTTCGTCTTTTGCTTGCTTCTGGGGCTTTGCTGGCAGCCTTTGGTGTTCCCTGGCTTGCAGTTGCACAGCGCAAGCCTCTGCCTTTGTTTTCACATAGCGTTGTCCCTGTGTGTCTGTCTTCACGTGGCTGTCTTCTTACATCGATGTGCGGCATATTGGATTGGGGCACACACGCCAGTATGACCTCATCTGAAATTACCAGATTGGGTCTGCAACGGCCACATTTCCAAATAAGCTGACATTTTGAGATACTGGGGTCTAATTAGAACTTCAGTGTGTCTTTTTTGGGGGGAGGGGGCACGATTTAACATTTTAAAAAACCTGCCTTACCAGTGTAAGGTGGGATCCCATTGTAGTTTTGATTTGCATTTCTCTGATGATTAGTGAGGCTGAACTTTTTAAAATTTAAATATACGTTTGTTGGCTGCTTGAATGTCTTCTCCGACTTTCTCAGGATAGCCATTCTTCCTGATATTCTGATGATATCTCATTTTAGTTTTAATTTGCATTTCTCTGATGATTAGTGATACTGGGCATTTTTTCATGTGTTTGGTTTGATTTTTTTTCATTTTTAGTTGTTTGAGTTCTTGGTAGATTCTGGATGTTAGTCTTGTCTGAGACATAATGTGTAAATATTTTCTCCCATTCCATAGATTTTCTGTTACTCTGTTTTTTTGTTTGTTTGTTTTTTGGTTTTTGGTTTGGTTTTTTTTGCTATGCAGAAGCTTTTTAGTTTAAGTCCCATTTGTCCATTTTTATTTTCATCACATTTGCTTTTAGGGTCTTCATCATACTTTTTTTTGCCTAGCTGACGTCCTGAAGAGTATTTCATAGGTGTTCTTTTTAGGATTTGTTTAGTTTCAGGTCTTACATTTAAGTCTTTAATCCATCTTGAGTTAATATTTGTATATGGTGAGGTAGGGGTCCAATTTCATTCTTCTGCATATGATTTGCCAATTTTCCCAGCATCATTTATTGAATATGTTCTTTCTCCATTGTTTATTTTTGTCAGCTTTGTTGAAGTTCAGTTGGTTGTAGGTATGTGGCTTTATTTCTGGGTTCTCTATTCTGTTCCATTGATCTGTCTATGATCTTTTAAAAACCTACACCAAGTCTTTCTTGCATAAAATCTTCAAAGTTTCTCAAAACACTTAGAATGGCATCAGATTGCTTATATAGGATGACAAGACTCCACACTGCCTGGCTCCTGCCTACCGTTCTGACCTCCTCTTGCATCTTCTTATCCACTGTGCTTTAGTGGGCAAGAAAGCCCTGAGACCTTAGGACCATCTGTTTGCCCTATGTTTTCCCTCCTTTTCTTTTTATGAATGGCTCCTTTGTATCATTCAGACATTAGCTTAAAATATTTCATTTTCAAAGAAGTCTATGGGCCGTCTAATCAGTACCAACATATCAACCTGTTTTAATTCTCTGAAGCACTTATCACTATTTGTGAGGTGTGTGTGTGTGTGTGTGTGTGTGTGTGTGTATTATATTTGCTTTCCCTCTAATGCAGGTTTAAGTAAAATGAGAAATTTTCAGAGAGGTTTTTAAGAATTTGTCCTTTTACCAATAATTTAATCTTTAAAAATATGGTCTTTGTGTCAAATTGCACATGACTTTTCCTATCAATTTTGTAGTTTGACTCTGTCAACTCTTCGGAATACTTTTGGTATGGTGCTCTTTTATCTTCAAGTCAAATGGTATTTAAGGTTGAATGACATTAGCTGAGAACCTCATGATATTTATATATTCAAATGCTTCGAAAGCTTAATTTCCTTCTAAAATCATACTGTCTATTTCTGAGCTAAAATTTTATTTACTGTTCTGTGGCTGAATGGTCAAGTAGTTTTTTAAAATATAGTTTAAATGTAAAATTGGAGTTTTACTGTATGAATAATTTTTGAATATTCAAATAACTGGAGAACAGTAATCACTTCTCTCAAATTTGTAGATTTGATTTTAAATGTAATTCCTTAAGCATCATTCATATGGAAAGATTTTTATGAAGTGTTAGTAATTATTTTTATAATCTATAAACTTTAAAATAGTAAATTATAAAGGTGTATTTATAAAAGTAGTTTTGATTTGAAGATTAGTCAGTATAACCATCCTCAAAGCTTTTAGGCATGCCTGTTGAATAAAATTCTACAAAGCAAGACTTATGTTCTGGCAAAATCTACTACTTACTTTTTTAAAATAGTAGTTACCAGATACAAATACTCTGACTTCTCTAATTTGGATTTAATTTTGACTTTTTATTATTTATTTAGTTTTTTTGAGTCAGTCTCACTCTTTCACCCTGCCCAGAGTACAATGGCATAATCATGGCTCACCACAGCTTCACACTCCTAGGCTCAAGTTATTCTCCCATCTCAGCCTCCTGATTGGCTGGGACTGCTGTGCCACCACGACTGGCTAATTTTTTTTGTAGAGAGGGGTTCTTGCTATGTTGCCTAGGCTGGTCTTGAACTCATGGGCTCAGGTAGTCCACCCGCCCCAGCGTTCCAAAGTGCTGGGATCATAGCCGTGGGCTACCCTGCCTGGCCTAATTTTGACTTTAAAAAACCAGCCAACTAACCAAACAAACGAAAAACCATTATAAGCAGGATACTATGTTGTGTGTATTGAGGTATCAGAAGTGTAAAGCGACATGTTCCCATAAGGTGCAGGAGTTGCTACAGAAACCAGAAACCTTTAAAGATTCTCCATCCGAAGGTTTTTTTGAGCCATACAACTTTCTTTGTTTTACAACTCTGTACTTCTCATCCTTTGTACTGTCCCACCCCCATGCACCTGACTTCCATAGTTCAGTCTGTCTTGTAAGAGTCTGTGTCTGAAAGGAAGGACGAAGGACATAGGCTACGTGTATTCATTTCCCATTGCTGCCTGCCACAGGTGTATAAGCTCTAAATAGCACTCATTATTTACTATGGGTCACAAGTCTGGTGGGTTTGCCAGATTTCTCTGCTCTGAGCCTCTCAAGGCTAAATCTGTATTGCCCATTGGAACTTACTGAGAGTTTCTGGGAAGAATCCACTTCTACCTCACTCAGGCTCGCCTATGTGGTTGTGGCCTGAGGTTCCCATTTCTTTCTGTCCCTGCGTGCTGTTCTCAGCTCTGAGAGGCCACGTGGCACAGAGCCCCTTCCTCTGCCCCAAAGCCAGCACTCGCAGGTTGATTCTTCTCATGCTCCCTGTCTCGGGCCTTCCCACGGCCTCGTCTCTCCTGCTTTCCTCTTCGGCCACACTCACTGACTAAGAGAAAATCCTCACTCTTATGGGGTCAAGTGATGAGATGGCTCTATTTGGACAACACAGGATCATCTTACTTTAAGGTCCGTGACCTTAGTCATAGCTGCAAAGTCTCTTCACTGCTGTCGGGATCTTGAAAGAAATAGCTTTAGAATTCTGCCTGCCACAAGATATTCGGCCTTTTTGTTTGTTACAGCTTGTTCTGTTTCTAAAGAGCATTTTCCCATTTAACTTGGCTCATGTATATGGGGTTAGGAAGTGGTTATTGGTTTCCATTTTTTAAATTAATGTACATTTTTGGAATTGTCTTTTCTCTCTCATAAAGAAAAGGTACTTTTGTACACCTGACACTTATCAGGCCTTTGTCAGGAAGGAGAGATGAACGAGGAAGAATGAAGCTGTTACACTTACAGTTGGATAGTTGTATATGGATACAGTTGGATATGAATTTGCTACTTTCTTTACTCAGGTACCTGAGAGGTGCAAGAGTGATTTTTTTTTTCTTTTTAAACTACAAATTATGTCTTTTTTATCTCAATATTTTATCTGAGTAAAATAAAATGCAATAAAGTTTTCAGTTATTCCTTTGACTTTTTAGGGTTTTTTTTTCTTTTAAAAGAAATGCTGTACTTATTTTAAAGATCATGGCCAGAATACTAGACTCCAGTGACTTACAAATAGTTTTATACCATTATAATTCACAATACAATTAACATTTTTGACTTTCTAACTTTATTAAATAGTTTCAAATGATTCAATCTGACAGGTCTGATAATCGTATCGTGAGGTAAAATTACTTGGGTTACTAAAGCCAGTGATTATATATAGACTCAGTTTATTTAAAGTGCAATGACATTCTTATTGGAGTTTTGTAGACAGGGTGGCTAACATGTAATTCCAAGTAACACGAATGTCTCCCATGTTATATTAAGTGGTAAGGTATTTTTCATGATTTTCTCCTCCAATCCAAAATGTTCTGTTGCTTTGAAATATTGTATAAAATGAATTAGTGGATATATGTTTATATTCTGTGGAATTTTACACTTAAATATTGTAATTGAATTATGCTGACCTTTAGATATAAAGTGGTTATGATTTCTGCCCTTATGAAGTATATGATCTATATTTGTTCAATTAATGAATGATATAATAATCTGCATTTTAACTTTTTAAAGATAGCTTTTATAATGATATATATTTTCCAAATAAAACACATTTCAGTTAGCAGGTATTTTATATGAAAATGTTTGTCATTTATTGAAGACTATCAGAAGATGCATAGGAATAAAGAGAAGATAAGAAACATTGTTATTTCATCATTCCACGATAATCATTGTTAGCATTTTTGGATATACCTTTCTGTTCTTTTTATGTACATAGATGTGTATACATTACAGTATGGAATCATGTTGCCCTTCTATTGAATAATTACTTTTTTCTGTAAATTATCTTTTATTTAAACACTTTAGTAACTTCAGTTTTATTGTATGGCTGTTAAAAATTACTCATTCAGATACCTGTTAGAAATTTAATTTCTTTCCCCCAGTTTTCAGTTCATAGCAATAGCTACAATGAAAGTCCTTATACTTCTGTGTCCATATCTTGAATTATTTCTTAAATTAATTATAATTGTAATTTCTGACTTAAGGCCATGCATATATTTTAGTCTTTTCATATACTTTATTAAAGTAAAAAATATATTTAATTTGCCACGCTATTTATTGAGTTTATGAATAAATAAGCGTTTGAATGAATGAAAATATTTCTTATTACATTGCCAAGTACACAAGGATTCTTTTCTCTTGAGTCTAAAAACTGGATAATTGTTAGAAAATTAAATTTAGTTAAAAGTAAAATTTGTAAAATATGTTTTAGTAGCTGCCCATTAAGTGGCTGTTAGAGTAAACTTCACATAGTATTAGGGATATTTCTACCTTAGGAAATTTGTACTTTCACTATGGGTTGCTGTTTTGAAGAATGGAGGAGGCTGTTTTAGGAGTGAAATGTGTCTTTTCAGGTTGGTTATCTAGAAATGCCTTATGGATCCATGATAGTGCAATGTTTTCTATTCATTTCTGCTGCTAAGAATATATGGAAGCCCTTCTTGTCTGTGTATTCTGTTACTTTCTCCTAAGTCTTCCTTGATTTTTAAACTCCTGTATCATATTCTTTTTTGCTCAATACAAACAAATATTTTTAAATTATTAATTGAAAGGGGCCTTTTGCAGCTTGATTTTTACAAAATACATTAGTAGTGGAAGCATCCAAGTTTTAGCAGAAGAGATTTATATATAATAGCAAAATTTGTAACTTCTTATCTGAATAGGACTTTATAGTTTCTGAAGGGCTACGGAGTAGAAAAAGCACAGCTGAATTGTTGCATAGAGTTAGCAGCAGCTGGGTACTCTTTGGCAAGATCAATTTTTTTGTGTTAGGTTTTTTTATATATAAAATGAATATGATATTTGTTTCGCAGGATTGTTGTATGGTTTAGATATCAGGTAAATAAACTACCTGGTATAATGCTCAGCATAGAGTAGGTGATGAATAAGTGGGATTTATTATAATTATTAGATCTTATTTTGTTTATTACTTCATTCCTATTTTGCAATTGAGGAAACAGGCACAGTGCATGTTAGTGATTCGCATAAGGTCATTCGACTAACAAATATAAACTGACGTTATTCTGTCTCCAAGCTAAGCATTCTTTCCTAAGTACCAGTCTTTATACTAGTACTTTTTTCCCCCATTAACACTTGGGCATTAGAAATCATTTTTAGCTTAGATCATGGCAGTGAAATTGTCTCCTCAGATCCTGAGGAACCTGATTTCGAGGTCCATGACCCAGAGGCCCCAGCTGACATGTACAGTGAAGATTGTTCTGTCACTGAGATGTAGAGAGGGATGTTTGGGTTCAGTCTTCTTTTGTAGGAAAAGAATTGTAAGTTGAGACATAATGTTGGCATGTATCTTCAGCTGTGAAATGTGGTAATCAGGGTATCTACCTATTAGCACTGTAATGGTTAAATGATATCATACACTGAAACTATTTAGAAAAATGCCTGGCACCCTAGGCATTCAAATAACGTTAGCTATTACTAACATATGAATTATTTTAGAGAAGAAACTTTAGTAGGCACGAGAATATAATTCACTTAAGTATCTTTTGTTATATATATTAATTGTAATAGACTTTTTAATGCTGCATATTGCTTTCTTTTATATATATATATATATATATATATATATTTTTTTTTTTTTTAGGACTGAGAGAGTTGTCACCACTTCCTTTAAATCTCAAACGTTTATACAAAGAGACCCTAGAAATTGAACCTGTCTTGATAATCATTTCTCCGGGTGCTGATCCTTCTCAGGAACTTCAAGAACTTGCTAATGCTGAGAGAAGCGGGGAGTGTTATCACCAGGCAAGTGCATATGGCCCTGGTATTTTTGTTCCTGCTATTGTTGTTCCTGTCACACATGCCAAATAGTGCCCCCAGAGGTTTCTGTGTCCTGATCTCTGGAACTCCGGTGGATATGTTATCTTACATGGCAAAAGAAACTTTGCAGATATAATTAAGGATCCTGAGGTGGGAATATTATGCTGGATTATCCAGATGGGTCCAGTATAATCACAGGGGTTTTTATAGGAGGAGGCAGGTGAGACAGAGAGAAGATTAGGGATACGGTGGTAGAAGGAGATGTCGGAGAGGAAAGAATGTGCTATACTGGGTTTACACATGGAGGAGGAGACTGCAGGTGTAGGTGACTTCCAGAACTGCACAGGCAAGGAAATAATGAACTTTCAGAACTTGCGGAAAGAACACATCCTTATCCTACTACCGTTTTTTTCAAACCCAGATACTTTGATTTTAGACCAGTGAGATTTCTCACCCCCAAAAGTTTGATAAGAAAGTAGTTTGAGTGGCCAGGCTCGGTGGCTCAGCCTGTAATCCCAACACTTTGGGAGACCGAGATGAGTGAATTGCCTGAGCCCACGGGTTCGAGACCCGCCTGGGCAACTTGGTGAGACCTCATCTCTACAATAAATCAAAAATTAGCCGGGCGTGGTAGTGTGCGTCTATAGTTCCAGCTACTTGGAAGACTGAGGTGAAAGGATCGCTGGAGCCCAGCAGGTCGAGGCTGCGGTGGCTGGGAGCAGCCACTGCAATCCAGTCTGAGTGACAGAGTGAGACTCTAACTCAAAAGAAAAGAAAATAGTTTGAGTTAAGGCACTTAATGTGTGGTGATTTGTTAGAGCAGCAAAAGGAAACTGGCATGTTTGCTACTTGGATGCTTTTTATAATAAATTGCAGTAATGTTTATCCATGCTTTCTTCACCTGAAGTGAAAGAAATGCATAAATATTTTGAGTAAAATGCATCCAGTGGATACCATATTGTTCTCTAAAGTAAGAGCTTTTGTTTGTTTAGATGGCCTCTTTTGTCAACTGTAAGTTGAAAATTAAGTTTACTAATTTATCCTTTTTAAATAAGTGAATAAACAAACATTTTTTCACTGGAAAAAGTGATTTTTAAAAACTCAAATACTTCATAGTAAGCAAAAATTGAAAAGTAATAATTTTACAAAAGGCAATATAAATAGGAGATAGGAAATAACCAAACTATTGGGTTCAGTTGTGCAGGTTTTGTTTGCACTGACTGGCTCTAGGGAGTTCCAGCCAATCACAGTTATAGTAGATCAGTATATGCATTAGAACCGAACTCAGTTGTCAGTGAGGTGTCCTAGAAAGGGAGCCCTTTCTACAGGTTGCACCTGTTAATAGTGACCTTAGCAGGAAGATGAAGCTATGCAAACTTTTAACTGTTTAGTGTTTGGAGAAGATGATTATTAATTCCTGATGTTCTCTTGATTCTTCAGAATTTAATATTAAAGCCAGTAAGGGAGGTCTAGGGATTGTATTACTGAATTTCTTATAATGTTATGTTATAATATGATAGCAGATCTATTTTGTTTGGTTTGGTTGGTTTTGCAGGTTGCCATGGGTCAAGGTCAAACTGATTTAGCAATTCAAATGCTAAAAGAATGTGCCCGCAATGGAGACTGGCTCTGTTTGAAGAACTTACATCTTGTAGTATCTTGGCTGCCAGTTCTGGAAAAGGTAGATTCAGATAAATGTGGTGTGAATAATAGCTAATATACTCGATTCAGTAATTTCCAAGGAGCATCAGTCATGCGTTATATATGATAATGTTTAAAAAATTAATATTTAAGAAATCATTTTAAATTTAAGTATTTTCTTCTTAAATATGTACAGTAGTGCAAAACAAGATGTTAAGAGGAAGTCTATGACACTCTTTTTTTTTAAAGACAAGAGAAGCCAAGAAATTTTTAATCAAGATTGATAGGAAGCTTAGAGATATCACAAATGTTTTGTTAAGAAAAAATAGTTACAAATAGTAGATTGATAAAAGGGAAATCCTATTGTATATTTATGTCTTTTTTATTGCTGTTTTTGTAAATAAGGAATTGAATGCTCTTCAGCCTAAAGACACCTTTCGTCTTTGGCTCACTGCAGAAGTTCATCCCAACTTTACTCCTATTTTACTTCAGTCAAGTTTGAAAATCACTTATGAGGTAAGTAGATTTAAAACTCGGATCACTCGTATGAGAGCAGTAATCTTTTCTTAAATTTCACAATTCAGGGTTAGGTGCATAAGTGGTCATTGTACAGGTAAGGTTTGGGCCTCCCGTTGGCCCTCACTTTACCTGGTTTGGGATCAGATACCCTTATTAGTGTTAGTTGCCCCCAACTCCCCTCCCTGGCAGTGACCCACTACTGCCAGTCCCTTTCATTAAGATAAATGCTCACTTATGAGTGAGACGATACGGTATTCAGTTCTTTGCTTCTGTGATGGATCACTGAGTATGATGGGCTCTAAATCCATCCAAGTTGCTGCGAAGTCCATAATCTTGACCTTCTCTATAACTGAGAACAGTAATCTACACATGACTTCCAAAGCATTGTAAACATTCATCTACTATGCAAAACATACAACTTCCCTTTACATTTAGATAAGGTATGAAATACATAAATAATAACATAAGGTGATAAAAAATACATTTTCATCTTTTCCAGTTATATTTCATATTATTTATGAGTTTTTATTGTGGTAAGAAACAAAATTTACCTACTTAACTCTTTTAAGTGTGCGTGCAATGGTGTTAACTATACACACCTGTTGTGCAATAAACAGGTCTCTAGGACTTTTTTGTCTTGCTGAGCTGACACTCTTTATGTACTGAACAGCAACTTTCCATTTTTCCCTTCCTCCAAGTCTCTGGCAACCACTGTTTTACTTTCTGTGTCTAAGAGTCTGACTCCTTCAGATACTTCATTGTAAAACCATGCAGTGTTTGTTTTCCTGTGAGTGGCTTATTTTGTTTAGCATAATGTCCTCACGGTTCATCCATGTTTTAGTATATCGACTGGTTTCCTTTCCTAAAACTGAAAATATTTCATTTTATATATTTACCACGTGTTTCTTTACCCATTCACTCTTCAATAGACATTTAGGTCTTCTACTTCTAGGCTATTGTGAATAATAAAATGAATATAGGTGAATACATACTTGTTCGAGATCCTGATTTCAATTTTTTGGATTGATACCCAGAAGTGGGATTACTGGATCATATAGTAATTCTATTTTTAATTTTTTGAGGCGCCTTTGTACTGTTTTTCATAGTGGCCATATAATTTTACATTCCCACTAACACTGTACAATTTCTCCACATTCTTGTCGATGCTTTTCTGTGTATTTTTGTTTCTATTGTTTTTAAATAGTGGTCATCTTAATGGATGTGGGGTGCTATTGCATTGTGCTTTTGATTTGTATTTCCCTGGTAGTCATGCTGAGTATCTTTTCATATTCTCATAGTTGGGCACTTCTGCATCTCTTTTGGAGAAATGTTTATTCAAATCCTTTGCCCATTTTTAATTTGGTTTTTGTTGTTGTTGTTGAGTTGTAGTTCAATATATATTTTGGATACTAACTTCTTATGAGATACATGGTTTGCCCATATTTTCTCCCATTTTATAGTTTACTTTATTCACTCTGTGGTTTCCTTTGCTGCACAGTTTTTACATTTGATGTCCCATTTGTCTGCTCTTGCTTTTGTTACCTGTGCTTTTCATGTCCTATCTAAGAAATCTTGCCAAATCCAATGTCACAAATCTTTTCCCCCTGTGTTTTCCTCTAGGGTTTAGTTGAGGGCTTATGCTTATTTTTAGTTCTGTAACCCATTTTGAGTGAAAATGGTGCAAAGTAAGGATCCAATTCCATTTTTTTGCATGTGGGTATCCAGTTGTCATATAATTTGTTTTTGACATAGCTAAATTAGACTGACCCTTTCTTCCTTCCTTCCTTCCTTCCTTCCTTCCTTCCTTCCTTCCTTCCTTCCTTCCTTCCTTCCTTCCTTCCTTCTAGCCCTCAAATATATAATACTAGGTGGATTCACCCCAAGCCTTATGGATTTAAAGCTGTGTTTGTGATGGTATTTTATAACTTATCAAAACCATAAATAAAAAACAAGCTATTAAAACTTTGTGTGCTATTAAAACTAGTAAATTGTACTTGTATTGTCTCCAGTTTTTAGAAATTTCTCTGTTTTATATCATCTTTTTTTTTTTTTGAGTTGGAGTCTCACTCTGTCGCCCAGACTGGAGTGCCGTGGCCGCTCCTGGCCACTGCAGCCTCAGCCTGCTGGGCTCCGGTGATCCTTCTGCCTCAGCCTTCCAAGTAGCTGGAACTATAGGCACACGCTACCACGCCCAGCTAATTTTTGATTTATGGTAGAGATGAGGTCTCGCCAAGTTGCACAGGCGGGTCTTGAACCCGCGGGCTCAGGCAATCCACTCACCTCAGCCTCCCAAAGTACAGGATTACAGGCTGAGCCACCGAGCCCAGCTTTATATCATCTTTTTTTCCTGAGAAAAATGTCTTAGTTTTTGTAACTGTCTGTTGTTTTGGATCAATACTTCTGTTTTTCATCTGAAGGTGTTTGTTTCATTTAAGGAGGAGAAAGGATAAAGAAATCTAGGAACGGAAAGATGACTTAATATTGGAAATACGTTAATTGAGTCAATGTAAGGTCTAGTTAGGAAGACCCTTCCATAATCTCCTCCAGCTGCTCTTCCAGGACAGCCTCCTACGACCTCTATTCTAGTGTTGGTTTGTTTGAGCCATAGGAACTGGGCTATGTTTTTGCTTGCTTTGTTGAACTGATAATATGTGGCGTGTAAGAGAAACTCAGTAAATATAGTATTTAAGTAATGAGGAAGTAATATGCTAGGTAGACTGTTCCTTGGATGTTTTGACTCAGTGTGCAAACTTTTCTGGGATCTTTGGGGGTAATTTTACTACATTTTTAATGAAAAAATTTCAGTTTGCATTGTTAGTGAATTTGTTTTGTATTTCTGGAATCAATGTAGATAATTTTAACTACTTAGCAAACTGTGGTTTGTTGAAATGTTCAAATTTATTATATGTATATTTGTATATATGCACACATATTATCTTTAAAATTATTAAGTCCATTTTGTTATTTTTCTCTTCTCTTTTTTATGATTAGTTATCATAGTTGACTTAATTTTTTTTCAAATTGATAACATACTTATGAATTTACTTTTTTCTTACTATTTTCTGTTCCCAGAGTTTTCTATTCTTTTCTGTATTTTTTCTTCCTGATGTTTTCTTTAGATTTTTATTTGCTGGCATTCTTCCTAATTTCCTAAGTTGAATGTTAATGTCAGTTCCTGGGTAAAATAGCGCTGTCAGGTAATACCCACTTTAACTTTGGATTAATGTGCAAGGAGATTAGTTGACATCATATGTAGATAGTATATTGAAGTCCTCATGGAAATTCAAATAGCAACACGTGATGGAAAACTGGCATATTAAACTCAAAAACCTATCCCAAAATAATCAAGGTCACATTAATATTATAAATGGTTATTTAGTTTCAGTTAAAAGGAAAAGTGTTTAGTGATCATATAAGATTTATTTGGTTATTTTGAATCTTACTGGTTGTTTAGATTTTTTAATTTGAAAAGTTATTCTGTATTTATAATTGAGAAGAACTATGAGATGCAAGATGTTTAAAACTAGTTTAATATTTGTACGTTTTGAAGTAACATAATCAAATAATGTAAATCAGAGTTGCTAAGTGGTTAAGCATGTCCTTCTTTAAAATATGTTAAATGCTGATTTACTTTTTTTGTAAGATTTTAGCAACAGAATGTCTGTTAATTTGTTTCTTTAGTCACCTCCAGGTTTGAAGAAGAATTTAATGCGTACTTACGAGTCTTGGACTCCTGAGCAAATTAGCAAAAAAGATAACATACATCGTGCTCATTCTCTCTTCAGTTTTGCATGGTTTCATGCTGTATGTCAAGAAAGAAGAAATTATATTCCACAGGCAAGTAAAACTAAGTTTTATATGTATTCTGAGCTTTACATTTTTTATTAGAGTATTTTTACAATTTAGTATAAATTGCTAGGATTATATCAACTTGGCTGATGACTCATAAATATATATCTTCAATCCTATCTTTTCTGCTGATTTTCTATTCTGTATATAGTTACCTACTTTACATCTCATTGAATTAAAGAATTAAGAACAATTTGGGACTCACCATTAGCCCTAAACATCTGAAAGATATATTTTTAATATCCAAATATTGTTGTCACCAAATTTATGCATCCAGCTCAGATCAATTTTCTAAGCTGTAGGTTTGTATATCCAACAGTTGACCACCCAGCTGAATATCTCAAAGAAAATTCACATATTCTGAATCGAGTACTAGCATATAAGCTTTTCAAGAGCACAGATTTTTGTCTTTTTTTGTTCAGTGTTTTACTGTCATTGACCAAAACAGTGCCTTGCATGTGTATATAACGGGCACTCCATAAGTTTTTGTTTAATGAGTTTTGTTGTTTTGAACCTTTGCTTAGCACTCTCATGTTATTCCTTCCCCAAAATTGTATTCTTTCAGTGTTTCCCTTATTAATTAATGACACCCTCTATTTGAATGAACCATAGGCCTGGAAGTCATTCTTAACAGCTCTCCTTTGGTATCTTCACTTTTCATTACAACCCAGTACAAACATTCTGCTAGTTTTATTTTCCTAACTAGTTCTCATGTCTGTCTACTTTTGTTTTTCCATGACACTTCCCTCCTTATCAGGGTTATCTTCCCTGTGTTCTTAGATGAAGTTAGATCATATATACCAAGTATGTTTCTTTCCACCAGCACTGCTAGAGTTTATAGTTGTGTATGCATTTGAGGGATGGTAGCCATGCCACTCCTCCACACTTCACTAAAAGGTGCTTGAACACATAGACTATGTTTTTTTTTCATTCTTACATTCCCATAGCCTGACATATAATACTCATATAAAATAGTTTTGAGTGATAAGTGAGATTTGCATCAGCATTCCTAAATAATATTCAAGTCTAACTATATTTTAGTTTGAACTTATTTATTACGTAGAAGTAATTAGTTACAATCAATGGAGGCCCTGTAGAGATGATTTTTAATTATGTTTTATATTATTCTCTAAACAATATAGAACTCTATGAATGTCCTTTTTATACAAACATTGTAGCTATTAGTTAATTAGGTTTATAATTTTATTTAGTTCAATAGGAATACTTTGTGGTTTTGATATGAATGAATATATAGAAAATATTGCTGTATACATTTGAGCCTTTTTTGGGGCAGTATTTCTGTCTTATGTTTGTGGAGAAAATCCACAATTCTGAAGGCCAAAATTGTAGGAAATATCTCATATTACACAATATGTAGAATAAAAAATTGACCACACCAATTTGTTCTCTCTCTCTCTGACTATATTGCCATATACTTGAATAATTAAAACTAGTATTATATTACAAAGTGCTTTTCATGCTAGGCAGTAAATTTGACTTTTTAAAAAATTTACTGTTAATTTGCATTAATTTTTTTATTAAAAATCTTCAGAAATTTTAAAAATTATATATTAATCTTTTCCTTTAAGATTGTAAGGACAGTGATACATACATATATCTTTTATCTTAGTTCTTTACTATTTTTAAAATTTGTTTTGACAGGGTTGGACAAAGTTTTATGAGTTTTCGTCATCAGACCTTCGGGCTGGGTACAACATTATTGACAGACTGTTTGATGGTAAGTTCTAACTGAAAATTCGTATTGTATGTTAACAAATTTTATTTGACTTGCCATTCACTACAGTATATGGTTTATTCGGAAGTTGCTTAACTTCTATCACAATCTTTGCTTTTTGCTTTTTATTTTGTTTTTTATGTTCCCACTTCCATGCCTTTGTTATCTGAGTTTTCTTACATTATCTGCTGTGGCCATTGGTTTTGATATAACCCATTGGAGTTTTTTATTGATCTGTGACTCAGCAAGCAAAAACTAGAAAGGCCTTGTCTTCACTTGGTGGCCTTCAAAAGTTTCATGAATTATTCAGATCTCTTTCAAGGGAACTGTTAAAACTCAGGGGTGAAGCAGACTGAGGCAGTGCCAGGGATTGTGGAATCTTAGTTAGATTATCTAGTAGGGTTCAGGAATCAAGGTACAAATAAGAGATTGAGCTAATGCAGCAAGTAAAGCAGGGCACCTGCTTCCCAAAGCCGTCTGATTCTCGGCCTCCTGAAGACAAGAGAGTCCATTCTTGAAGGCTGATTATGCAGAGCCATGGCAAGGATTAGAGAACAGAACATGCTTGTAAGAATCTCCGACTAAAAATGTCACACAACTCTCACCTCCCGTCTCCTCTCCCTAAGCCTGCAGCCCTGCCTAGCTGCTCTTTGTCGAGTTGACCCCATCTTGGGAGCTGGCTCACTTTGCATGTGGCTGTTCAAGCTCTAAGCCCATGGTTCTCCCTAGATGGTTTTCTTTTTCTCTTCCTCAGACATCCAGTGCTTTGGCAATTTCTGTTCCTTCCCTGTCATATCATGATTCTGGTCACTTCTTTTCAATAGTGTCAATGCCTCGGCAGGCCAAGCAGGAACGTTTTACCTGGTCCTTCTGCCTTGGCACCTTTCAGCATTCTTCATCCTGTAAACACATTTATTTTTTAGAAAAGCAAACCGAAGCATAGAATTTCCCTGTTAATAACTTACAGCCATGTTTGTCATCTTTCTTTTCCCCAGACAAACCAGACTTCACCTCACCTGGAGGCTTTAGTAGGTGTTCTTTCTTCTGTCTGCAACACATCCCTCCTAGACCTTTACCTGACTTTCTTCCAGCATTCACTTCTTAGCTTAGAGCTGTCCTCTTGAGAAGAGCATTTTCTTGCCACTGATTCTAAAGCAATCTTTAAACAACTCTCTATTCCTTTATTTCATTTTATTTTTGTTTTTGTGTTTTGAGTCATGATCTCACTGTCACCCAGGCTGGAGCGCAGTGGCACAGTCAATGACTCACCACAGCCTTGACCTCCTGGGTTTAGGTCATTTTTCTGCCTCAGCCTCCAATGTAGCTGGGACCACAAGTCCCACAAATGCATAACACCAATGTCCAGCTGTTTATTTTTATTTTTAGAGACAAGGTCATGCTGTTTTGCCTAGGCTGGTCTTCAACTTCTGGGCTCAAGCTGTCCTCCTGCCTTGGCCTCCCAAAGTGCTGGGATTCTAGGCAGGACATATTGGTGGCTTTCAGTGTGGAATGATTGTGAGTAGTGCTGCCATGTCTTTAAGTAAATATATGGATATATTTTTATAAGGAAAATGTGTGGACATGGAATTGCTAGATCATATGTGTGCATTTGGCAATAGTTGGATTCCAAATCATATTCCAAGGGAATTTTTTGTTTATTTAAAATATTTTTGAATTATATACTTCAGAAAAGTGCACATAAATGTACAGTTCATTAAATTTTCATAAATTGAATCTGTGTGAGTAGCTAATAACAGTATTATCAGATTCTGGAAGCACATTCCACTGATTCTACATACAACCCAACATTCTCCCACCTCATGCAAGGCTAATTATTTTCCTGACTTTCATGAGCTTTTGTTTTTAATGTTTGACACATAATTTTCTGGAATCTATAGACTAAGACCTACGCTTTCCTAGAAACTTGGCAGTTTTCTAAAATGCTTATGAACATTTATTTGGCTTTTGTTATGCTACTATTAGGCAAAAAGTATTAGAGCCCTTTTAGAGGGAAAAAACAAAACAAAAAGGTTGATTTGTTTATCATTGTGTTTCAAGTTTGTGGTGGAATTAAATGAAAACATGCTGTGATTTATATATATACACATATATAGAGAGAGATGTATATATCATACCATTGAGTTTTAAATAAAAGGCATATGCTTTAAAATGATGTTGAACCTCATGATAAAAATCTAACCTAAATCTTATGATTACAAGATTTTCTGACACTAAGGGACTTCCACATATGTAGAATTAAATGCTAAAAGGGAAAAAGTTCTAGCTGGTGGAGGCAGTTGATATGGAGAGTAACAGCCATGCGACAGAGGAAGTTTGTTCATCTTTAAAACTGAGTTTTCTGTCCTGAAATAGCTATTATTGTAATTTAAGTTCTATTCATTTTCTTTTATCTGGAACAACATTAAATTTGCTCTGGAAAAAATGGTTAGAAGAAGAAAAATAGATTTTCTTAGAAAAATTCTATTAAATACTTCATATAATGGCTGCTGCTTTCGTTTTATAAGTTGAAAGGTATACTATTGTTTCTGTGTATCTTAGTGACTTATCAGTGACTAGCAAACCCATTACTAACGTATCATTTAGTGGGTATCAGGGTAGAACTGGAAAATTGAATCCTGGTGAAGTCCTTTACTATTTAACCACTGTGGATAATAAGATATGGGCAAGAAACCAACTTTATTCCTTCACGAAGTAGATGCTCGTATTCTGCCAGGGGCAGCTTAAATCATTTATGTCCCAGGGCATGTAGTAACTCTGCCATCAAGTTTGTGATTATCTCTGAATTTTACAGTGATGAAATAAAATTAAACTAGTAATGCTAGCAGTAAAGTTAACTAGCTAGTTTAAATGTAGTTTTTAAAAAAATAGAATTAAAGATAGTAATGTTTATGGTATTTACTGCAGATCTAATGTTTAATTCTTATATTTTAACATTACTACTGAATTGTGACTACAAGGATATTTCTGTTGCTAAATGAAATAATGTAGAAGTTCCTCTGTGTGTGTGTGTGTGTGTGTGTGTGTGTGTGTGTGTGTGTGTGTGTTTTGAATCAGGGTCTCACTCTGTTGCCCAGCCTGGAGTTCACTGGCACAGTCAGCTTCCACAGCCTCAACCTCCTGAGCACAGGTATTCTTTCCATATCAGCCTTCCGAGTTGCTGGGCCTACGTGCTCGCAACACCATGGCCGGCAAATTTTTTTTATTTTTATTTTTACAGAGATGAGGTATTTCTTTGTTGCCTATCCTTGTCTGGAACTCCTGGGCTCAAGGAATCCTCTAGCCTTGGCCTTCCAAAGTGCTGGGATTACAGGTGTGAGCCACTGCACCCAGCCCCATTGTCTTTGGGTGTGTGTGTGTGTGTGTGTGTGTGTGTGTGTGTGTTTACACTACATTTCTCTTATATCAGAATTGAAAATGGGTAGTTAATGAGAAAAGGATTAAAAGTAGTGGGAAACTGCCAGGGGAGGGGGAGAGTGGGATTGGCAGTAGTGGGAAACTGGCAGGGAAGGGGGCACACCTCATCAGCAAGGGTACCTGCATAATGAACATTTGTATACCTAACCCTGAATTGTACCCCACATCTTTCAAATAAAAAATACTCTATTAAAAAAAGATAATGGGTAGTAAACCATGACATTTAAATTCATGACATTTATAAGACGATGGTGTATAATGGTGTTCTGTAAAGTTTTTCTGTGAATCAGGTTATTTTATGAACTGTTCATTAAACATTGTATAAAATTATGTTTTGATAGGTTCTTTTAATTCCAATTTATTTGTTTTCCTGGAAAAAATTATATTTTGACAACTTTAGTATAAAATTAAACTTTGTTCTGAAATGGGAACCCTAGTAAGGTGAAATGATAAATAATTGCATATTTAGACTTTTGTGAAATGGGTGACTGGAAAAATTATGAAGAAAAAAAATTTATGCAAATCATGATTTACAAAAAAGTGATATCCACAAGACAGGTAATGTTAAGGTGGTCTCATGATTGTCTTCTGCAAGTCAGTACTACACTTTTGTTTCCCTGTTGCTCTGCAGAGAACTTCAAGCAGTCCTCTAGCCTCAGCCTCCAACGTACTGGAATTACAGCAGTTCTGCAAAGGAACAGCCTTTGTTTCTGCTGCTGGTTTCCTCTTGAGCATGGCATAGAAGCAGGAAAGCTTTCCTCACAGACTAAACAGTAACTGCTCTCAGTATACTTTGTTGAATTGGACATGCAGGGAAAAAGGCCAAGTGTCAAAAATTTCGCTAAATTTTAAAAGTAAATTGAATATTTTAATCCACAATCTATTTTATGCCCAAAGTATTTTCTGAAATTTTATACTCGGTACAGGATTATAAAGAAATTTAGTCTACTTTTGCTACATATATCACAGAGAACTCTAAATAAAGGCTACCACCAAATCCAGTAGCCAGGACTGTGTGACAGGTAAGAAGATGGTTCTGGGTTCAGAGTGCCTCATTCCAATCCTGATCTGGGGGCCGTGGAACATTCATTTGGTGACTCAGCCTCTCTATGCCTTATTTTCTTCATGTGTATGATTGTATAATATTAAGACTTCAGTGTTTGCTATGAGGATTAAGTGAGTTTACACATGTAAAAATTTGGAAAATTTTACCAGATTAAATAACCTTAATAAACATTAGTTACTACTGTTAATATTAACGATCACTTAAAGAAAGAAATGACTTAGTAATAAATATACTTTGCTATATCCCATGAGTATAACAGGAGTCAGGAATTTAGTTAATATTTTAGAAATTAAATTAAAATTATTTTTTAATCATAGGTACCAAAGATGTACAGTGGGAATTTGTAAATGGTTTACTTGAAAATGCTATCTATGGAGGACGTATAGATAACTATTTTGACCTTAGAGTTCTTCAGTCATACCTGAAACAGTTTTTTAGTTCTTCAACTATTGATGTATTAAGCCAGAGGAACAAGAAAAGCATTTTCCCATATTCCATATCTCTACCAAAATCCTGCAGCATTTTGGTAAGTAAAATTAATTATTTTCAATCTATTATGAGATAGATACTTGAATCATTTCTTATGTTGTTAAATATGCTATTTCTTTTCAAGTGCACAAGTAATTATTCACAGTTTGGATTATGTGTATTTATTTTATGTGTCTTTGTTTACATATATTCATTTTAACCAGCTGTAGCTTTTTGCCTTGAGTCATTACATAAAAGCTTCCTAGAATGCACTTATCTTTCCCAGGAAATAGTATTAAATATAGCCCGAAGATTTCAATTCTAGTTTATTTTGCCACAAACCTATATTTGTATAAATGCCCAAATGATGTTTATTTACGGGAATATTATAAGTATACATTTCTTCATGAATTACAGAGATAAAAATCTATTCAATTACATAGTTTTTCTCAATGTTTTGCTGTTTTCTTTCATCCAAATGTTTTTCTTTTTTCTTTCTTGAATTGGAGTCTCACTCTGTCGCCCAGACTGGAGTGCAGTGGCCGCTCCCAGCCACGGCAGCCTCGACCTGCTTGGCTCCGGCGATCCTTCCGCCTCAGCCTTCCGAGTAGCTGGAACTACATGCACACGCTACCACGCCCAGCTGATTTGTTGATTTATTGTAGAGATGAGGTCTCACCAAGTTGCCCAGGCGGGTCTCGAACCTGCGGACTCAGACAATCCATTCACCTCAGCCTCCCAAGGCACGGGATTACGGGCTGAGCCACTGAACCCGGCTCCAAATATTTTTCAATAAAATTCTTTTATTATAGTAACATAATTGTCAACAAATAGAAGCTTAAAAATCATTATTAAATATTTTACTCTTAGTGAATAACTTACTGATCATGGTATCTCGTCTGTTTTGTTAGTATCTTTCATTGACTCCTGCATTCATTAATATGCTGTGAACATCTGCTTCATGGTAGCTGTGCTCCAGGCAATGTGGCTCCAGTGATGTGTCCATAGAGTTTATCTTCTAGGAGAAGTTTAGTGTGAACACGCAGAGTAGATCACATGCCATTGTATATTTATAGCAGATAGTGTAGCCCAACAAGTCCTCCAGAACTACCATTTGAAACTTAAATTGAAAAAGAAAATTCATACATAAACATACACACCATAAATGTACAAGACAGTGAATTTTCATGCATTGATCACATGAGCGTAACCAGCACTGGGATCAAGAAACAAACATCATCGACTCCCTAGACCCTCTCCTCATGTTGTCTTCTAGTTTGGGTCTCTTCCACAAAGGGTACATAGTTCTGACTTCTAACAGCCTAGATTAGTTTTGCATGTTTTGACACTTTGTATAAGTGGTATCATGTATATTTTGTGTCCAAGTGAGGATAAGTCAGTCTGAATATGTAGCTAAGAATTATTTAGTCAACATGTCAATATATAGTTGTAGGTAGAAAGAAGACTCTAGCCAGTATAGATGAGAAGATTTTATAGCTATTTTGAAATGAACAAAGTATATAACTCTACAAAGAGTAAGAGTTTTACATTTACAGGATGATTTATGAGAATCACTGTTTAGCTTTCTAATTAAGTTAGAAGGAGAACATCAAAATTTTCCTGGGATAACACTGGCACATAAATATACAAGCATACTCTTGTACATACACATTTATACATGTATACGTTGTTATCAACTATGTTGAGGAAGTTTGCAAATGTTGAGCCAAAGGAGAGAAAAAATTTAAAAGGGCCTCGTGCCAACCTAGAACTTGACATATGTATAGGTCCTGGGCTTCCTGGATTCCAGTTGTCTCCTTGGAAGTATTTCAGAGGTAACTGCCAGGGGTGACAGAGGATGATGGAAAGTGTAAAGATGAGTTTCCCACCCCTACTTCAGCAAACACCATTTAGACGCAAACACGATGCCTGACTTAAAATAACTTGTCTCTTCATGAAAACAAAGCACTTTCCATCCTTGGGCCAAACTAAATAAATCTTTTTGGTCTGCACTTGGTTTTTCATCTGAGATCATGAGTGAATAACTGTTAGATGGCTGCTCAACAAGCCAAACTTAGGCAATGCTTAGAGCAATTCTTAGGATGAAATGATAGGATTATCAGTGCATTTTTATCACGCCTCGCCAGAAAACTGAAGCCTTGACTGTGGGATTGCTTTATGATAAAATAATTTACACAGGAGTGTTTGCATAGCAGAGTATGTCTATGTGTTTTCAAGGTTTCTCTAAGTTAAAAGAACCAAAAAAAAAACATTGCTGGAATGTTTATCTTAACATAAAAAGCAGATTGGTCTTTGTACTTTGGGTCTCCGCACTCTGAACATTGGTCCTTGGTAAGTTACAGGAAGAAGGTTCCAGAGCTTTCCTAAACAGCATCTCATGTGACTTTTCACACATAATAGGCAATTTAGGGTACCTTTGCATGTAGGGAGTTAGGATAAGAAAATATAATACCAAATAAAGTAGGTAGAAGTATTAATGACAGACTGTTTTTCATATGTAACTGAATTAATATATAGAAAGAAAGTGAACTTTACCCAGAAAATATAAAATGTGAATGATAATTTAATATTTCACCTTATTTGTTTTTTCTGATTTTAATGGTTATAAGTTCAATCTTTATTGAAAAGCTCATTTTCACTTCTTTGTGTTTAGGACTATCGTGCTGTCATTGAAAAACTTCCAGAGGATGACAAGCCGAGTTTTTTTGGTCTGCCTGCCAATATTGCGCGCTCATCTCAGCGCATGATCAGTTCTCAGGTGACTTAATACATATACCTTAAAAAAAAAAAAATTGCTACTGAGCCCGAAGGAAACAGTATTCTCTTTTATTTGATACTACAGACCCTGCAAGCTTTCATTTAAAAAATGTATTTCACTTAATGCAACACATTCTAGTTTTACATTAAATAAAGTTTGTGTGACATATAATTTTATCTTAATATAGTTGCTGAAATTAGTAAAATAACATTGCGTGCTGTCAGTGACATCCATAATGTATTTGTTGGACTCCTGTGATTTATTTTATTATGGCAACTTTAAATGTAATATATGTAATTAGATGTCACTAAATTAATATTTTCATAATTTTTAGATGGCACTTATTTTTTATTAATTCAAATTAAATATCAACCTCTAATACATGAAATCAGTATATATTGCCTACAATTATTTAATTATTATACTTGAAGTTTTTGATTCACTCAAAAATGGTCAGAAATGCTAATACAAATATTTTGAAAATGTTTAGCAAGCAAATTTCTTAAATAATCAAGGTAGAAAGAATCCTTGACTCATGGTGGAGTCAGCTGCTTGCAGAAATGAGACCACAAGAAGTCACTGCAGCATGATGGTTTTGCAGAAGATAAAGATTGCTGCAGGGCGATGCCCCAGGTTGTAGAAAGAGGGGCATTTTTCTCTGCAATTTTTGGTTGTAAAAGTAGCCTTTCCAAACAGAAAACGAGATGCCAGAAAAGCCAGATATTCCTTGATTATTCACCCTGAAGAATTAGGAATTATTTCTCAAGTTTAGCTTAGCAAAATATATTACGCATAATTTCCATATGTATAGGATTTTAAAGGATTGAAATATCTTCTTTGGAAAATGACTTTAAGAGGTATTGTTCAATGTTACTTACTTTGCTGTGGCATTTCTTTGATTTAGCATCCAGTAATGCATTTTTAAAGCATCTTTCAGCATTTTATTATTTGCATCCTTTAGTCAGTGTTGACATTTTCCTTTTAGGAAACAAAAAGTGAGGGCATTGGAGGAATAGGCAACATACAAATCGACTGATGTCACATATTCCTAATCTCTTTCATGACTATAATATTCTTGGTCCCTTAAGTTTTTGCAAAGCAGAGCTGCCTGCCTTGGCTTTTATGGAATGTTTCAGTTTGGTTTCTACTAGATCCAAAAGTCAAAGTATGAAAAAGCTTTGGGGAAATTATGGTCTAGGAACGAAGGAGAAAAAAATAGGATGTTTGGAGAGGAAAAGACATAGCTCTGGTCATGAGACTAGCAGAGAGGAAGAAGACATGTCATTGAAAATTGGTTTTTAAAACTGGAACCTCTAAAAGAATCCCTTCAATTTCTAAACATTGATATAATTTTTATATTACTAAAATTATATGAAGTATGTGTTACCAGTCCAGCCATCATTTATTACAAACCAAGCTAGGTCAATCAAATAGCTTTACGTAGGAAAAAACTTTAGAACTTGTGATTTTTATCTTTTCTTACATACAGTTCTTTAGGCTTTAGTTAGCACATATGTAGCGCCATCCTTTCCATCTGTGTTTGGAATGATGGTAAGGATGCTGCTGCTGATGTTCTGATACTTTTGGGGCTTCATGTAATAGGCTTTGTGCTAAGCACTTTATATAAGTTATCTTAATTCTCAGGATAACCCGATGATATATAGGTGTTACTATTGAACTTATTTTATAGTTGAGGAAATTGAGTCCCAGGGAGGTTATTATTTCTCCCAATATCACATTTTTAGAAAGTTACTAACCTCTAATTTATATGTGTTAATGAATATTAATTTATGTATGTGTGGCACACTCATAGAGCAAGGGTAAATCATTAATTTTGGGTCTGCTTGTATCACGAGATCCAAAGGTTTTTTCCATAGAGGTTTCACTTTTTATGTAACCTATTTTTATGAGGAAAGGAAAAAGTTCTTTTGTTAGGCAAAAGTAATTGGTAAAATATTGGTTTTGTATTTTTTTTAATCACTTTTTGGCCTAGGAAATAAAGCAAAATCTTTTCTTTAGTTTTTAATTTTTTTTTTTTTTTTTTTGAGTTGGAGTCTCACTCTGTCACCCAGACTGGAGTGCAGTGGCCGCTCCCGGCCACCGCAGCCTCGACCTGCTGGGCTTCGGCGATCCTTCCGCCTCAGCCTTCCGAGTCGCTGGAACTACAGGCGCGCGCTACCACGCCCGGCTCATTTTTGATTTATTGTAGAGATGAGGTCTCGCCAAGTTGCCTAAGTGGGTCTGGAACCCACGGGCTCAGGCAATCGCCTCACCTCAGCCTCCCAAAGCACGGGATTACAGGCTGAGCCACTGAGCCTGGCTAATTTTTAGTTTTATGGGTGCGTAGTCATTGTACATATTTCTGGGGTACATGTGTTATTTTGATACACGTATATAATGTGTAGTGATCAAATTAGGGTGATTGGGATCTCCATCCACCCATTTTCCATATCAGTTCATCTATTGATAGACACGCCAATTCCATATCTCAACTATTGTGAATAGTGTTACAATAAACACAGATATGTGAATCTCTCTTTAATATACTGATTTTTTTTCTTTTGGATATACAATCAGTGCTAGGATTGCTGGATCATATGGTAGTTGTATTTTAAGATTTTTGAGGACCTCCATACTGTTTTCCTTAGTGGCGATCCTAACTTAAATTTCCACCAACAGTGTCTGAGGGTTCCCCTTTCTCTGCAACGTCACCAGCATATAACTTTCTGTCTTTTTGATAAAAATGATTTTGACTAGGGTGAGATGATACCTCATGAAGATTGGAATAGCATTTCTCTGAAGATTTTTTTACATACCTGTTGGCCATTTGTATGTCTTTCTTGATAAATGTCTATTGAAATATTTTGCCCATTTAAAAATTGAATTATTGGGGGGTTTTGGGTTTGGGTATTGAGTTGTTTGAATCCTTTATATATTCTGGTTATTATTTCTTTGTTATTTGAATAGTTTGCAAATGTTCTCTCTCGTTCTTTAGGTTATCTCTTCACTTTTTGTTGCTGTTGTTATGGTTGTTTGAGTCTCACTCCGTTGCCTAGGCTGGAGAGGGATAGTGGCACGCTCATGGCCACCGCAGCCACGACCTGCCGGGCTTAGGTGATCCTTCTGCTTCAGCCTTTCAAGTAGCTGAAACCACAGGCATATGCCATCATGCCCGGCTAATTTTTTGATTTATTATAGATACGATGTCAAGTTGTCCAGGCTGGTCTTAAAACCCTGGGCTCAGGCAGTCCTCTCGCCTCCACCTCCCAAAGTGCTGGGTTTGCAGGCATGAGTCACAGTTTGTCCATTTTTGCTTTGATTTCCTGTGCTTTTGAGGCCTTACTCAAAAATCTTTGCCCAAACCAATGTCCTGAAGCGTTCCCCAATGTTTTCTTCTAGTAGTTTCACAGTTTCAGATCTTACATTCAAGTCTCGAATCTGTTTTGATTTGTTATTTAAATGGTAAGAGACGGGGGTCTAGTTTTATTTTTCAGCATATGGATATTCAGTTTTTCCAGGACCATTTGTTAAAGAGCTCATCTTTTTACCAGTGTATGTTCTTGGCACTTTTGTCAAAAATGAGTTGATTTTTTTTTTTTTAACTTTTAAAGCTTTTTATTTTGAAATTGTGGGGTACAATTCAGGGTTGGTTACACAAATATTCATTGTGCAGGTACCCTTGTTGGTGAGGTATGCCCCCCTGAAATGAGTTGATTATGAATATGTGGATTTATTTCTAGGGTCTCTATTCTGTTCTATTGGTCTGTGTGTTTGTTTTTATTTATGCCAGTACCATGCTGCTTTTGTTACTGTAACTTTGTAGTGTAGTTTGAAGTCAGGTAGTATGATGCCTACAGCGATTTTCTTTTTGCTTAGGATTGCTTTGAATATTCCGAGTCTTTTGTGGTTCCATATAGGTGTTAGGATTTTTGTTTTTTTTAATTTCTGTGTAAAGGCCAGGCTTGGTGGCTCAGCCTGTAATCCCAGCACTTTGGGAGGCCAAGGTGAGTGGATTGCCTGAGCCTGTGGGTTTGAGACCAGCCCA